GACGTTATATACGTATGCTTTAGATCCATTTAAAAATTAGGAAGACATTAAAGTTGTATATAGACTGAATTTATTCAGTGAGAGATTTGTGTTATATATGAGAGAACTGGCATGTGCACAACTTTTATGCTATAGAATACATCCCAAGATTTTTAATAATTAATGCAGATAATCCGTATTATGTATAACCGATAAAAAATGAACATTCATTATCCTATAAACAATAAGACTAGATAAATAAATTTAAAAACTAAACTCCACAGTTCACATCAAACACTAAAATTTAGAAATTCAAGTAAAATAAGCAAAGGAATGACAACTAAGTGATATATACAGAGAAACAGAAAACAAACTTACACTTGGTCCAAATGATACATAACCAAATATCATAATCCAAAAAGCGATAAATTCACAAAGAAACATGTAAATATAAACATCGACTTTTTATTATATCTTGGGTCAGTCATTTTCAGATAGAATCGTTTAAGTTTTACCAGTGGATTCCACGTCTTACCACCTGGACCCCCACTAGAAGTAGTAGTAGAATAGTGTGAGGTTTGAGGATATAGTTGAACAAATGCATTACGCCCACCAGTAAATAGTCCATCATCTTTCCCAAGATCTGTTTTTGATTTGTTCAGACAAGCACCGGATGATGCTAATTGTCGTGAACTATAAAGAAAACATTTTTCAAGAAATATTATCACTTCAAGTAAATGTAATTGTTTAGAGAGAAACTAATGTCTACGAAAACGAATAACAGTAAACTCAGAGATTATTTAAAAAGTTATTTAACGTGTTATGCAATATATTTATTGTATAATTAATTTACAAAACATAAGGAGCAATTAGAACAGCGCTTGGTCGGATTTGACACTTAACGATAAAACGGGATGATTAGACTAGTGGCCAAGAGCTAGAATATATTCATTTTACAGTTTGATTACCCATTCAAGAACGAACCATTAGTCTATTTTGCATGGTAGCTTGAGATCTACGTTAATTATGACTGATTAACTGAATCGTTAGTCTACCACAAAAAAAACAAATTATCGATTACTACAATCTTACTTTGTCATTTACAACGAAATACTGAACTTAACTACCAATCAATAAGTTAAATTTTAGATGAAAGCAAAAAAACCCTTTACGGAAAAAAATAGAAATATATAATATAAATGCTCACCTTGTTCCTTGCTTTGAACAAGACAACTGCTAATAGGTAGTAATCGTAAAGGAAAACAAAATAAAAAAATAATTATGTAAGAACATGTGAGTGTGAGAAAAAAAAGACGAAAAACTAAACTAATTAAGTAGAACATATGTAATCACATAGACAACATATTACCAAATTAGAACTGAAAATAATTATTTCTAAAAATCGAAAATTCCCATCTGTAGACGGAGGATTATAAGCGTTTAACTTCAAAACAGGCGATTCTTCTTGATAAATTAAGATAATGTAATGAAAATTATATTAATAACAATGGTTGTGTAGTAAATCACCATGGTTGACTATGTGAAAATTATATTGGTTTTGAAAATAAAAGACTTATTCAATTGGATCAGCATGGATTAATATCAATCAGAGAATCATTAGAAATTCAGGAAAAAGACTGAACATCTCTGTTTCACCCTATTTTATTGTTATATGATTTAGTAATGCAATTCACTTAATATGCTATTAATCAGTTATAGACGAGCTAATATGATCTATCGACTCTGACATTATTTATTTTCATACATTATTTGCTTTAATTATTCAAAAAGACTGATGTATTTGCTTAGAGCCTTGAATATTCCCAATAAATTTAATATTGAATCCTTTCATCTATCTCACCGCAGATTTAAAGGCAATTTATAATAGAATTTATCTGCTAAGGGTGAATTACTAAATGTTTATAAAACATTATCTAGCATAAAAATTATAGGGAATAAGCGAAAATAAATGTTGACAAAACACCTAACACATTATTTAATTTTTTGCAATTACAGTGTATACATTAAAATGAATTTTGAGATGGTGGAGATTTGTAGCTCAGGTCGACGATTTTGGTGGAGTTTTGTTCCAGCTCAGGGAAGATAGAATAATTACACCAATAAGATATAACATGAAGGAATAAAATAACAAAATTTCAACTTTTAAACCTTTTAGCAATGATTGAAAACAAGTAACACATTAATATTCATAAAGAAATAAACATATGTGAGAAAAATAATAAGCGACAGTAGAAACTGTTCGTTAGTCACAGATTATATCATCCACTTCATTATATTGGTCGATATGATTATTACTTATCCAAAAATATATGTCCTTGGAGTAGGATAGCAATAGCTTTTGTAAAAGTTTTGTTATAAATTCGATTTTCAAATATGAAATAATGAATTAATGTAGTTTCTTTACCAATAACAAGTTTGTGTATTTGGTTTTGAATTATAACTGAAGGAGACATAATGGAATCGGCATTTGAAACTGAGTATTTTGAATCGTTAGACCATCGCTCTCGAAAAACTATTTATACGATAATTTTCATACATTTGTATCGTATAACTCATAGGGAAGAAAATATTATATGAAAATCTTTACATTGTGAGAATAGAATGGAATACTGTTCTTTTTAAATTCATCTCAGATACTAATGGATTACAAGAGACGAGGAGAAATATGTTGAGCAAGATAATAATTGGGATAGACCATTAACTTGACAACACACAATAAAATATTACCTGGAATAATAATCTTACTTCATTCATCATATATTTACCATAATTTTATGCTTAATATCAAAAGTACATTTATTATATTGATAATAAATGTACTTTAAAACGTTAGAGAAATAAAACAGACATAAGATCGCTACTACTACTTACAGCTGCTTTGTTTTCTTGTACAATTAATTCAAGATCATGTGTGAATTCAGTGTCATCACGCCAAAGACCATTATTTTTTAAATATCCTCTATGTAAGAATAAACTAATTAATTGTACTAAATCAAATACAGCATAATCATCATTTTTATTTACACCAATTATACGAGGTAACCACAATGGTTCAGCTGATTCCGTTGGCCTTAATATAGCATCATTGAAATGGAAAAATTTAAACTGAAATATATACTTGATGACAATAACAATCTATAAAGTAAAACAAAAGAATAAAAACAGATATCAAATAAATGAAATGAATAATAATAATAATAATAATAATAATAATAATGACAAAGTCTACTTCGAAAGAGCAATGAGTAGAATAAATTATCAAGATTTACAAAAGGGACGAATTTACATTAAATAGGTGGAATGCGGCTAACAGTGGAATCTAGGACGTGTATTTTATTATATTTGAGACACATCAGCTGGATGAACTTGAATCCGAAATAAAACGAGACGTGGGTTTTGGATTCCACTGCTAGCCGTATTCCATCTCTTTTATGTATGATTGTCATAATGGCTATATCGAAGAGATCCACATAGAATCCATAAATGAAACTTAAACTGATCAAAATTAAGTCAAAACATCAACAATGGGATAAATCCGTATCATTACAAGTTAAAGGAAATAATTGTTTCAAAAATGAAATATACGCTGGTTAAAGCATTTAATTGTCAAATATTGAGTCGATTTCACAGTATTTGTTACTCCGATTTGGAAGTATACAGTCAGCATTACGAAAACATATATAATATTGATTATCCAAGACGAAGATGATGACGTAGTGCGAACTTAAAGTAGTCTTAATCGCGATTTATGTGAACCCCATGGCTTATGCGAAAAGTTCTGTTTTTTTTTCAACTTTAGATTTCATTTTAAAGATTATTGTCGTGTATGTACGTTATAGCTTGATAAAAATTTATTTTAAAACAACTTGTAAAATGACTCAAATTCAGAATGGATCCTGAAGAATTAGTTTTGCTTTAAAACCCATAGTAATATAGAAATGATGTGTATCACCGTTGTCCGGTTGACGAGTTTCAAGCATGACAAAACACCTGTTTCAAATTCAATTTTTAGCTACTTTCCGACTGTAATAAAAACTTATAACTAAATGGCGATATTAAGGTAATTTCTACAGGAAACACTTGTGTCACAAAGATTGATCAATTGAGATTATTAATATTAAAGGGAAAATATAAATCATTAAAATAATAAATTATTATTTAAGGAAGTTCTTAAAACAAACTTAAATCATCAATATGAAATATAAGAAACGGTAAATGATAATGATTATTCAATAAAACAAAACTATATATCATCAGTAGTTTTATTTTCTAAGCCCTTAGTCGTTACACGCAACTATTACACATCACGGTAAAAAAAGAATAAATAATGGAAACTAATAAGTAGTATATATATATATATATATAAAGTATGTTTACCTCAGTGTAAGTGATTAAAAATATCCAAAATGTTTTTGTTGGACGTGGCACAGATAACATACCCCATAGTAATACCATCAATGGATAAGGTAATGATAATAATGATGCTGAATGCATATGATTAAATATTAAAAGAAAATAACAAAATAATTCTGAATAAACAATAGCTAAATTTCCAACAGCTATTAATAATAAAAATCCATATGAACGTGATTGACGAAAAGCTTTTTCACGTTCATGATCTTGTAAATCTGTCATAGGAGTATTATTATCTAAATTATCTAATGAATTATCTCGTATTAAATAAGAATTCATAGTATCATTTAAACATTTTTCATTAGTTTGTAAATTTTTTTCAATACATTGAGGATTAAATAATGATAATTGACGTTCAGGTGTTGTAGAGATAATTTCTAAAACAGCTGATTCTAAATGTGTTCTACAAATACAATAAACAAGAAATAAATAAAAAAAAAATTAATAAATTAAATGAAAATATATTTAATGATAATGAAAAACAATGGTTTACAAGAAGAAGAAGAAAAAAAAAGAAATACTCAACTAACTAACTAACTAAACAACTGATACATTTTATAAAAGGAATAAAAAACAAACAAACAAACTTGGAACAATATGAAATGAATAATGAAACCTACGGATCTTTAAGAAATTTAAAACATGAAGAAATATAATCCATTAACTTATTTAGTTTATTATATCTCCATTGTTTTGTTGGAATAATAGAATAATAGATGAGTGATGTAGTTTGTAATGGAAAAGATAAATATGAAATCTGATCTGTTTTATTGGTAAACCTTTGTAAATAGATATTTAATGGCATTATAAAATTATTATTATTTGAAGACGATGATTTCAATTTATTTCTAGATAATAATAATAAGAAAAAAGAGTCAAACCAAGAAAACTGTAATAGATTTTAGTGAGTTTTTAAAACTATTCCATTTAACACAAGAATAATTCATCACTATATTCGAATAAAATGAACAATAATATATACAAATGCCCTGGTACGGCCGAGAGTGAGGAGAGTTCCGCTCTCCCTCTCAAAATGTTCTCACATGGCCACGCGTATATAGCCTCTGCCAGGGAAGTCCTACTCACTGCCTTCTCGTGGTGGGGGTGTTGCTTACGAAACTGAGAGGACGAAAAAAGAATGTCGGGGGTTTAACCGGATTCCAAACCAATGGTGCACATGGGCTCCAGTATTCTAAAGGAACAATTGGCGTATGAACCAACTGTTGGTCACCGGCTTCAATGGGACTGCATCTCCTTACGATTCTCCACTGCCTTGTGGATCAGGCCTTCAGGTCGAAGGCTTGGGGAGTGACCCCCCGAGAAAACCACCTGCTTCGGTTTGGGCACCCGGGCAGTATCACAGCCCTCACACATATCAAATGAGATTTGTGTGGCGAATATGTATTTGGTGCATTCTTGTACCAATATCTATGTGTTAAAATAAATAAATAAAAATGAATGATTAAAATCTACTCTTAGATATCTTGAGATTTTAGAAACACATAACAATATAGTTATACAATATACCCTTGTGGGCCAGGGTAATTTTACATTGGTTTTCAGGAGAACCGAACACCATCCAGACTTTCATGTGACAACCCAAACAGTACAACTCAATCCCACTTTACAGGAGAACCAGATACCGTATAGGCTTTAACGATACAATCTGAATAGTACAGCTCAATCCTGTAGCGAAACCACACAGGTACCAAGTACCCTGGTAGACCAACATAATAATATAAATGATATTAAGACATTAGATAATAAAAACATACTATTGAAACCAAACGCATATAAAAAATAATACTAATAAGCTATGAAGTCAAAATTATTTCCATGGTTAAAGTAATGGATTAATTGATAAAAAGTCAGCATTTCAACTATTAGGTTCTATATTTTAACTTCGTTTCATTTTTTTTCTTGTAACACAATGTAACTACAAAATAAAGTTCCTTGTGTGAAGCATGAATAACACAATTAAGTGTTATGTTTAGGAACAGCCTACAGTAATCTCAAATGACTTACGACTACGAAATTCTTCTAATACAAAACAGGATATGAACAAAATCAACCTAGCAACTAACATGCACTAAATCAATAATAATCTTCTGTGTTATGGTAGAAAGAGATATCAGGAACTCGGGAGAGGTTAATATTCACAGAAGTCACGTTTGTTGACATAGCAACAGAGCAGTCCTCCAGAGAAAACAGAAATACCAAACTAAAGTATAAAATACCAGTCAGATAATATCAACAGCCAGGCAAGGAAGCATGGACAGGAAAAAAATCATCGTGAACTAGCTTGGATACACGAGCTAACACTTAATAAAAAGAAGTAGGTAGTATGAGGTCCTCAAAGAACTAAGATATATCATATAACTATCAAATCATAAAAAAGCATGTCAACGATGCACAAAATATAATAGCGTCATTATTAAATATATATTTTAATTAAAACTGTTTACCTTAATTGTTCATTTGTGGATGGAAGATATGAAATAACTCGACGTTTAACTAAACGTTTTTCTTGGTCAATAGTTCTGCGAATACGACGATATTGACGAGTTAGACCATTCAAAAATCTTATTAAACTATCCACAGAACTCAAGAAAAACATATATGCTATTAAGCAAGAAGCTTTAAACTTGCTCCAACAGCCCTCGGTATCTGAAAAGGATAAAAATAATACTTGACTATAAAATGAATGACGTAATTAGGAATAAGCAAAGATAATGAGAGAACAAATGACCTTTAACCTATAACAACACCTTGTTAGTAATGTTCAGTCTGCGGCAGATAACGGGGTAATTAAAATAATTCCAAAACTATATTCAAATGTGAAAGGTCCACGTAATGATTATGACCAATACATGACGTAAAGGTGATAGATAACAAAAGTGATACTTGTGACTGATATGAGTTGAAAATTAAAATTATAAAACATTTCTTAAAGATTTGTAGTCAAAATAAGAAATTTACTGCGTGAAACAATATTGCTTAATACTAATCTGGTTTATTTTAGAAAGGTGGTCTACGATAAAATGTAGTTTGGGCTGTTTGAAAAGAGAAAATAAAATTCGCCTTATACAAGAACTATCGAATGAGTATACATTAATACTAGTCATCCATACTCACTTAGTGTGAACAGCATATCGTCACTGAAATTAGAGAGATGATACGAATTTTAAGCGTACAGAAAAAGAGCTACATAATTAGTTATTATAAGTATTACAATATATATTGAACGTTAACCTATTTTATAAATCCTAGTCCGTTTGAGTACGAAAATAAGTCTTAAAAAGGTCGGAAACAAGTAGACGAAATAACGACGAAGCATACAACGTCATCTTCATAATTTATGAATAGAATTTAACAATAAATAGATGTGAAATGTATTTTGTGATAAAATCAAAACTGAAAAGTAAAAACAACTCACGTTGATGGACAGAATCTTTGCGTAATTTATCATTATCATTTATATCAGATGACCCATTATTATCATCAAATGGTCGAGATGATGAGTGGGTAGTTTTAATTGGCTTTTCAAATACAGTTATCTGATTATCATGAGCATTTTGTTTATCCATAATAACATACGATGGAGTATGATTATTTAATTGATTCAAAAGAATAGTGTTTAGTTTGGTATCTTCTGTTTGCTTTGAAGTTGATGGATTAAAATGGGATTTTTTTCCAGCATTAACATCTATCATATTATTAAATTCCGGTTTACCCTTTAAGAGACATTTATTTCGTTCCTTGTTTATGATATTAGCGTCGACTACATCATTATTTCCAGTGAATGATGAATCCAACGGATGAACAGAATATAAATTGGCTTTATTTTTTAAAGGTTGTTCAAAATAATTATTATCAGGATCAAAATAACAATATTCACTAACGTTTACATTTCTGTCCGTCAATGGAGAATAGTATTTTTTACATAATCTATCGGAAAAATGAACTTCCGGTTGTTGTCTTGAACCAGAATGAATATCAGGTACACTAAGTTTCCTTATGCCAAATTTCGATGAGAAACGATTGTTTCGTTTACGTTCTTTAGTTTGATTAGGATAATTTGTATTTTTAAGTGAATGATTGTGAAATGAATCTGTACTGACCTGATGTCTATTGGATGACTATAAGTAAAGGTTATAAATTAGATTGTATGCATAATAAATGGTATGAAAAAGTTACAAATTATGTTTGAATATGTACTTATCTGCAATAATCAAGCATACATAAAACTTAGAAATTTAGTAACGTTATAGGTTCCTTCAATAAAATCAATTTACGTGGCAAATGAACTAACATTTTGAGAGCGTATAAATAGCAAAATGTATGTATTTTAAAAAATTACTTGCTTTATAACATTAAGTAAACACGCATTGTTAAGCAATAAAATGTTTTAATAGTTGAATTCATGAGTCGATAAACACTGAAAACCTGGAAGCACTGGACAGCTATTTCGTCCTAGTATGGAACTCCGCTGCAGTGTGCATCCGCGATCCCGCACGCAAAAATCAAAATTAGGAACTTCGGTTTCGCGCGCGAACCAAGAGTACTTAGCATGTACATGGTAAAACTTAGACCGATGAATTTCTATTGTTCATGAGAACTTAAATAAACTATTGATCATTTGTTAGTATAAAACAATAACAGCAATTACGCGGTGAGAATAAATGTACACGGAAAAATATTTGACTCATTCGGTTAGATTTCCTATTTAGTACAAAAAATGGAGAAAATTTGTAGCTGAGATTAATGTTTTTGATGGCGGTGTTTGGTTCTCTAACCTAGATATTCTGATTGTAAAGCATCCATTGTCATCCTGAATAACATCTTTAACGCCTACTTCATGTATGAGTAGACGATAAGTAGACAATTAAATCATCTAGTTCGGAGAAATCAACACTATCAAAAGTATAAGAAACTTATGTAACAACTATAAGCAAGTTAATCAAAAGTTATTTATATCATCATGTACAGCTTATTTTTAGAGACAAATACTTTAAACAATTACAAATGTATATAGTAACCATTTTAAAACAAAACATTTAACCTACAGGTTGCATCGTTTGATCGGCCGATGGACCGTCTTGACTTCCAGTAGATACATTACATGGAATATTATCAGCCTGTTCCCGTTGACGTGCACCATCATGAGAATGGGCATATAAATTGCGTCGATACTGTTTCACAGTTGAAAGAGCACCAAGTTCCATGGCTCTATTCAATAGTTGGATGGGATTTAATCGAGAATTCGCAGTTGATGGAGGATTAGCATCATCATCTTCATCACTATCTTTATCCGCTTCTTGACCATCATCGAAATATGAATAACTGAAATTTTTTCGATCGTTAGTATGTTGAGACCCAGACTTTAGGGCTTTAGTGATTATGTTATGAGAATGATTTTCAGCAAAACGAGACTCGATAATTTTACATTCACTGCTATCTTTTACTGTAGAAACGTTTTCAGAGTTACCCTCTCTGTTACTATTTCCCTCTGTTATCTTATTTGCAATAACAGGGTACTCAACATGAGAAGTTTCATAGGCCTACGATAAAAACATAGGATACTTAAATTATTTAAATTTGGCCAAATGAAGGATCGACCGTAAATAGAAATAACGGTGAAGGGATAACAAATTTGACAAATTCAAAGAAATCGCAGAAAGAAAAACATACTAAACGCATCATCATAAAAAATATATATCTATTCTGTTTATACATGTACTATACTTGTTTGCAAGCCATTTAGAAATAAAAACATATTTTTAAATTTAAAAAGACTTGGAATTTCTTACAACTACTTTAATTTAAAAACTGTACATCGAAAAACAGTACAGAATAATATAAATAACTGTCGCGATGAATTCCTCTTTATTCATTAATGTAATAAACCCTCATTTTCATCAAAGCCTCTAAATGCGGTTGAAGGTGGGGGAGTTAGTATTCCCTATCGAAATGCTTTCACATGGCCACGTGTATACAACCACTGTTAAAGAAGCCCTACTCACTGCCTTCCCGCAGTGGGGGTGTTGCTTACGAAATTGAGAGGATGAAATGCGAATTTTCGGCGCTTTAACCGAGTTAGTGAGCACGGAGAGTCCACCTAGGAAAGTCGGAAAATCCTAATTGCAAACCAGTGGTGCACATGGGCTCCAGCATCCTGAAGAAGTGGCGTATGAACCAATTTTCGGTCACCAGCTACCATTAGACTGCATCTCCTAACGTTGCTCCACTGCTGAGTGAATTAGACCTCTGATAGTGGCCGCCTAAGAAAACCACTTGTTTCGGTTTGTGCGTTCGGTGCAGTATTCCAGTGCTTGCACAACTCGAATGACGAAGTGTGGCACATACCTATTTGAAGCTTACTTGTACCAACGTTTATGTGTTTAAATAAATAAAAATAATACTTTTTATTAACAGAATTCAAGAAGATAAACAAAAACCTGAGAAGCATGATATTATTCAGAAATATAAATAGAAGCTATGTCTGAACCTTAATTCACGTAATTTTAAAAAATTCGATGTGATCTAATTTTCTCACAAATTCATTTCATTTTCTAACTGGTCTGAAAATAATTATATAAGGTAAATTCAGAAAGCTTAAAGTCAGGAACTAAACTTCGAGTCTTTAAAAAAAGGTACGTTATTTCCCGGCGAGAATTATGAATGGTAACTTTCGACAACTACTTATGGACGAATACGACACATATATTTTTATTGTATAATTGTTAAGCAGCTAAACTATGCACATTTATGTTCCTCTTATTGTAAGCTTTATCTTGACCTGTAAGCTATTATTATACGATTTGCCGTTCTTGAGTTATGCCCGGTCTGTTAATCACAGTCTCCCATATTCACAGCCACTTTTGGCTAGATCTTGTACAAATGTTATTTTCTATTTTATGGGACGATGTGCTCTGTTTGGTTTATATATAAACCCAGTACGTTTGAAATACATGATCCATATCGCAGAGGCTGAGATTGGTGTTCTGGACTTTAATAGGTAGGGAGAAGGACCGATAAGGACTCTAGACTGCTCGTACGGGTTTACGTATTATTGGTTCGGTCGATAAATTACTGTTTTATAATTGGCGGTAATGCACAAGATCACAAGTTATAGCAATCAGTTATAATTACTATTAATATCTTCAAAGCGATCGACAAGATGGAGTAGTATCGAGGTGAATATTTAGTCCGAAACGACAGAGAGCGATTTTATTGTACTTAGAACTCATTCTCCAAGAGCTGAGACACTTAAAGTTATACACGATTGGAGTGGTGGCCCTTTCAAAAACCTGACTATAAAAGCATTACCATTTGAATTCTGTTTCAGTCCCCTTATTGTATTTCCTAACACAAAGTAACCAGTTGCATAGGTGGACATTCATTCTTAATGACAGAATAATATTAAGTATGGAATTTAGTGAATTACAGAAAATTTTTTTATTGGAATACAAACAAACGCAAAAAAAATAAATCCTTCATATTTACGAACTTTAAAGCGTTAAAATTCAGTCATGACTGCCTCATTCATCAAGCACAAATCCATAAAACTAAAGTTTTAATGAATAAGTCCCGTAAAACTGTATTCATAATTTTTTATCAAGTATCTAAATAAGTGAATCCATGGATAAACAAGCACACCATTAGCCTGTTATTATAAAAACATGGAAAAACTTTTATTAGTTAAGGCAATAAAAATAGTATAGCCCCAGATATTCAGAAATGACAACAGAAGCATCAATATGTACCTTAGGAGGACTTGGTTTAGATAATGACGATTTCGTTGTTCTCCTATGGCTTCGGACCGTATTTTTGACAACTGTGTTCTTTTCAGGACTACTAGGACGATCTTTAGTGGGGAATATAGCTCCAGATGCTGAAAATAATCGTCTATGAGTTTCATAAGGACGATGGTGTAAAGTGATTGGATTCTGATCTCGGCGATCAGTGGACCGATGAGCGAATCTGTCAAATGATGTTTGACTAGGACGTGAAGCTAGATTTTTACCATCTGAAACCTTAGGTTCATCTGATTCTATAGATACAACGGAATATTTTTCGTTTCCACCAAAATGTTGACGTAAAAATTCAGGATGAGATCGCATACGACGATGTCCTAGGACAAATCCAGAGTGAGGACGATCTTGATGCATTTCAATATGCTTAAGATGTTCATAATAGCGGTCTGAATCAAGAGCATTTCTACTATGAGATGTTGGGCGAACGCGACGGTGTTCATCTCTAAAACTAAAGGAATAATAATCAGTAGAATTTCAAGTGAGTGTAACTTCTTTTCAGACATAATAATGAAAAAAACATATAAATAGGTTTAAATGATGGGTGAGAATAAATATTTGTATAAATTGACCAAAACTCTGATCTTCTTAATTACAAAAAACTCTTTTAATCACTGTGTGTCGTTTAAAACAGTTAAAAAAAGTAATAATATTCAGTGAAAAAGAATAGGTAACTGTAGATCCCAAGAGGAAATATACAAATTATCAAATACGTTTGCTAACGTCACTATTTATATTTCAACTGAACTCGCAAACAGAATTACTGAAATCACTGAACCAAATCGAAAAGCATTCAAGAAAGTAAGTAGCTGAAAAAAATTGGTTACAAGATATAGCATATGTTGAACGGTAATTAAAAAATTAAGAATAACTGATAGGGATTTACGCACCGATGGTAATATGGGCAGTGATTTACACCAATATCCAACCAGACATGGTTGCTGACAATACTATAGAACTTTCCACCAATCAACTAATGATGTTATCTAGGCAAGAGATCATATTATCTACTAATAGTCAACGTCCTCATGATGTTTCACTGATAATTATAGTATAGGGGACATTATAGAGATTCTTAGTGAAAATATGCAATGAAAGAATAAATAATTCTGTATTTAAAGCAGTTAACATTTACCTGTTAAAACAATTGATATTCCTATCTCCCAGTTAATTAGACATAGTTAACTGATTACCTAGTCTGAAGTACATCTCTTAATACACAACATCATAAAGTCACTAATAATCCGTATAATATAAAGTAATTGTACATAACGAAATTTACCAAATTTAGTAGTGATGAAACAAAATGTAAGATTTTAGAATTCAGTACTGTTGAGTAAATGACTTTCAGATATTTACTTTTTGGTAAAAGAAATCAACATTAAATGACCGAATGAAACAACAAATATTAGGCTGACCTGATAGTACTATAAGGATCATTATAATTAGACAGAATATTTAAAATATTTGGATCTACACTTGGCCAAATATCTCGTAAGTAATTCTTTCCATTTGGAACTAAAGTAACTTGAGATTTAGTATGATTATTTGAAATAGTGGCTTGTTTGTCAATTTCTTCACTGATAGCTGTTTTTTGTAATTTTAAATTATGTTTATTCTCGCGTAAACGTAACGCCGGTGGTGGTGGACTAGAATTATCTTTATCCGAGTGATCACTATCATTTCCAGGTATATGTGTCTGACGGTTGACAAAATCATCATCTTCTTCTGGATCACCTTCAAACAGATAGTAATCACCAGACCGAAGCACTAGAATAAAAACGACAACAAAATCGAATAAGCACTACGTGATATTAAGAAATAACTGCCCTACAGTAAAAAAAATCATCAACGACAAATAAGTTAACCAATAACTAGTACGAGTAAGTAAAACATAACAGGTAGATTTTAGTCTTAATTAACTATAGTAAACAACAATTCAGAACAGTGAATTCAACACATTTCCGTTTATATTCGATCCATACTTATAGTGTAGAAATAGAAACAAAGCATGTGCATTGCGCAAAATTATTAAGTGTCAATGAAATCATCAAAAGATATTTATGCATGATAATAAGACTAGCTTAAAAATAGGAAGACGACCTGAAAACTATGCAATAAGCGGTTTTTGATAGGTATCGAACATTATAAAAAAACGGATTTTTACTGCAGAGGTCGGCAAATGTTTGAAACCCACTCCTCAAACATACATACAAATATACGGTCCACAGTTTACTGTATGAACACGAATTCGGTGTCTTACATTTAAAAATGTCGATGTGGATACACTTCACTTTTACACAAATGAGATCAATTTAAAAAATAACCAGTATATGAGTTCCATTATTGAGTGGCGTGGTAAATGTATAAAGGTTTACAATCGACTTCACGAAATGGTCACCCAAAAATATTTTCTAAACAGATATGAAGAATGAATTTTATCAGGAACAATCACGCTTTCTATAGATATTGTATCATACAATTTATAGTACACCACAAATGTGGTTATGAAGTATTACTATATTGTAATGTAAAAGAATTGATCAGACATTATTACCTAGTTTTTATATTTCTAAGACGATAGCATTACCTGTGTGTTTAGGTATAACTGAGTGAGCAATACTGATATTAGACGTAGAATAATAAGTAAATATAACAATTCCGTTGATGAGGTTGTAAATCTTGCTTCTACTGACACCGTTATTACATCTACCACCCTGGTATTTGTCTTGATAACTTTATCTAGGTAAGCTGATATGATTTAACAAATTGAACCAATATACATATGTGCTAGGCTTTACGTTACAAATTAATGACTGAGTTCAACGCTTAAAAATTACTCTGGTGTATGACTTAAGTGGATGAGTTAAAGTATGACTTAAAAAGTAGTATACATAAATCTGTGCATTGTTATTGGATGATAGCACATCAGAATTTCAGATGAACAAAAAAACAATCTTAGGTTGAGTTTAAACGTCAAATAAATACTAAACAGTAGACTAAAACACATATTCATACGAGAAACCATGAAACGATTAAAAGATGTGTTAGAGGAAACATGTAGAACTACCTACAACCATCATCAAAAAAGAAAAGGTATTTAAACACAATTGTCTACGCAAGATACTCAATGTCATTCGACCGGATACCATCAGTAACAACCTACTATAATAGAGAACAAACCAGCTTCTGGAGATGGGTAGAACATACACTGTGGAAATCATAAGATTGCATCAAGAGACAAGTTCTAACTTGGAATCCTGAAAGTGAAAGGAAAAGAAGCAGACCAAAGAACACATTATTACCTCGGGACTTTGAAGCAAACATCGAAAGAACGAATAGCATTTGGAAACAGCTGGAAAAGAAGAGCACACAACAGAGTTGGTTGAAAAATCCGGGTTGCTGTTTTATGCTCCTCCACAAGGGGTAACAGGAGTAAGTAATTTAGTAAGTAGATGAATTAATACCCCGAAAAAGATTGGATTTACGCCAAAATTTTATAAATACAACAGTCATCAAGAAAAAAATTCTTACTTATATAATGTTCAGTAATGTTAGCATTACTACGTCCAAATGCTTCTTGACGTTGTTGAATAAGATTGAGTTTCTGTTGTACTTTTGCTAAATTATATTGTTCTTCCATAGCTTGTTCATGAATAGCTAACATTAATTTACGGTTTATTAGGTAAGCACCACTAAGAAAAAAATTAAAATAGTAGGGGGAAGAGTAGGATCAGAACAAACATGAGAGACCTTGTAACATTCGTCTATAACGGTTAATTATCATGTGGAAAAAAAACACATTTAGTTCAGAAAAAATCGAAAGTGATATAACTGCTTATCAGAATTATTTCATTCTAATCGGCATAAAGTGTTTCTCTTTTCAAAAATCAAGTCCCATTGATTAATAAGGCGTAGGAATTTACGACAATACTGTATTTTAATGTAAGTTATTAAATTAAATAAACTAAACCATTTATTGTGTATAATCAGCCTTTAAGATATGTATTTTTAGTATGAGAATTAATGGTACAAAACTCAAACTGAATTAGGTGATATAGAGTTGAGAATCTGAGAATTCTTATTACTAGAAATTTAATCAATAAAGAGACCAAAGAGTGAACAGAAATTAAAAAATCAATAACCACAACATTAAAACTTACCGAGATGCAAATCGACTTTGAACTTGTAAATCAAGTAATACATGACTAAAACTATGTGATGTGAATACTTTTCGTTGAAATAAAATAAATATAAAGCATACAATATCCCAATGCAAACCACTTGAAACAGTAGCACACGATGTTTCATGTCCAGCTAATGAGATAAAAGGTGAATAAATAATGATGATAGTAGTATATTGACAATAATTAGAATTATATATATTATCAGAATGCCGTTTGTGGAGATAGTCCTAATTTAATAGTTGAATTCATGAGTCGATCTAGGCTAGACTGCCATGAAAAACCTTGAACCACTGGACCGCCGTCTCGTCCTAGCATGGGACTCCTCAGAAGTGTGCATCCGTGATACCGTACGCGGGATTCGAACCCAGGGCCTTCGGTCCCGCGCACGGGCGTTGAGGAGTCCCATACTAAGACAAAACAGGGGTCCAGTGCTTCCAGGTTTTCCATGGTAACCTAGCATAAATCGACGCATGAATTCAACTATTAGATTACAAATATACTAAAATTCAAATTGTCAATCACATGCAATATGTTATTAGGTAATTTCACCAAGGGGCAAAAATACTAAACCAGTTCAACCAAACGAATTAGGTTATATATATATATATATATATATATATATATATATATATATATATATATATATATAATTCAGTGTTAAAATGTTAAATATAATCGGCTTTAAATGAAAACTATAAAGCTTAAATGTAGGGTAATCAATATTAATTAACTCATTGGAGAGATTTGATGTGAACACTTCATCGCTAAAATGTGAATGTCGTTGTCAATGACAATTCAATTACGTATTAATTTTCATCCTCAGATTTTACAGTATTTGAAGATATAAACAATATAGTTTTAGTGTTAAAGAAGAAAATTTAATATGTTATCTCAGTCATAGTTTTGATATAGGTATAAGGAAGTGAATCAGATTGATGGCTAATATCACACACACAAAATCATCTAATCGTTTATAGTAAAAGAAGATAATATCAGTGAATACAAGTGAATTATAATTCAGTAATCTCAAATACGATCTTTTTTAATGCAGAAACGTGTATGTAGGATTAGCATTGTATACAATAGACCATTGAATTGTTTTGATCAGTTTATTTTTCAAAAATGAATAATGATGTACACAAGTTTACCAGGTTGTAATCGCTTTAAGTTGAAAAGCTAAATTTATTTGTACAATTACATACGAGGTAGATTGAAATGATTCCATGATAATGGATTCATACATTGAACACCGAACAACTGTATAAGCCAACATTGATTAGACATTCGTGAACGATAGACACAACCCATAAGTTGAAGACTACATTTGGCCAAAATAACACAAAAATTATATCCAATAATCACATTCCATCTACAAAGAAAAAATTTTTTAATTATGATTCACTGTTTAAGATCAATGGTTACATTTAATCTTAGACAAATACGTATATATAATTAATAATCATAAAAATCAGTACAATTTTTTTTCATTCTATCATACCAGATTACCGGCTAGCTTCAGTCTACTTTTAATCATTGTATATCCATCAACATCGACAAAACTTATATAGAATGATAAGAAGTTGGAAGCACCTAGCAGGAATCCATGGATGTAAGTTGCGCATCAATTAGCACTAGCCGACATTTTTGAAATTATTCAGACAGCCGATACACTCTGATGGAATTAAACTTGCGTTGTACAATGAAAATGACAGTACATGTCATTAATGGTATGTGCAGCAACAAATCAGAAAGACTCATAAAAAAATACGAGCCTTCTGTTTTAACCTACTTTTAAATCAATATTAATACACTAAACACGTAATTCAAATAGTGTCCAATGCATTAAACAAAGAAAAACGTAATCTGAAATACAACGAAATTAACAGGAACTGTTAAAAAACTGACAGGTAATTATATATATATATCAACAATTATAAATACTTACGAGTTGATTAGATTAGGTCGTTCTCTTAGCAAAACATTCAGTCCCATCCATAAATAGATAAAACTTAAGATCATATAACCTAAACAGAATAGTGTAATCCACACAACTCCAGTGACAAGAACAACAGCTAAACTGACCCAATAAGACCAATAGAAAATAAGATGACGCATATAATCTAAATAAGATCTGTTAAATTAACATGAATAAACAAAAGAAGAAAATTAATAATAATAATAATAATAATAATAATAATAATAATAATAATAATAATAATAATAATAATAATAAATAATGGTAACGATGATGATCAAACAAATAAATGACAGATTAACTTTATGAAAATATCTCGAACAAAGCAACCACTTTTTAAAAAAATGGTAACTAATTAAATAATCCAAAGGTTTAATAATGACTGATCATTGTAATATACATGTGATTATCAGGTAGAAATAATCAGGGAATATAGCAAGCAAAAATGCAAGGCCAAAAATTTGTGGATTCCAGTGTAGCCTCAACTAATTAGTTAACTGATCAACTAAATTTTAGTCATACATACCCTGTACAAATATGGTTGATAAATGTTTGGATACAGATGTTCAACTGGAGTATCTTCAGTGTTTTGTTTTTCAATTATTTACTACTTCTACCAGCTCATTTTAAAGTCTGAGAAGTTAAATTAAAGCGTAACCTAACTCTCTCACTCTCTTTCACATACACGCAGACCATTCTGTAAAAACAAGAATTCGAAAAAAATTAAGATTCTTGTGCAAAACAATCAATGCAACAAAGCTGTGGAAACCTCTCAATGAGCTATACAGGGATTCACATAGTATAGTATATTTCATTTAAAGGATAAATACGATAAATAAGGGATCATGTAGTCGGTTTTGATCATGTTTACCAAAATACAATTTTTCACAATTACAAACATGAATCAAGATTATTTTTATTACCATTATCACTATTATTATTATTATTATTATTATTATTATATGGCAATGACAAAAATAATCGAAAAATAAAAAACATCCATGTACCAAAGTAATTGTTTGATAACATAACTCAAGATATAACATAAATAACATTATCACATGTTGATTACACATCTACATTAAATTAAATTAACTATACAAACTTAATATACTATATTCATTTTATATTACACATATATCTGACTGGTCAGTTTATTAATTAAACCAAAAGTTCAGTAGATATGAACGTGAATGACTAAATACATCAATCAAACCGATACCATAAATCAATTCACTGAAGTGTCAATTAACAAGGAGGTTAAATTCCGACTTGCACTTCCGCGTAGTGCCTTCTGAATAGTAGGAGATCTTTCTCTCCATGCATTAACGCAAACAGCATAGTGGAGACAGGACTGACCAACCACTTCACTGTCAGACAGAAATCGGACTAATCACCCAATCTGTCTAAATCTTGATTATAAGAGAAGAGAGGTTGACTTGAATTGGCTTTCTGCCTGTGACATTGAAGAAAACTTTCCTTTTGGTACCTGTACAAACTAGTTTGGAAGAGCCCATACGGTCTGGTAGGGGTGGGTCAGAGAGTAGGCTGTGTCGTAACCAGTACAGAGTGGTCAACATTAAATCAGCTTGTAGTAAGAGCGTTAAGTGAGCACATAGTCCACGACGATTTACAATGCTGATTTAAATACTCAATGTCCATTCAGTGAAAATGCTACTGGGTCTGGAAGTCTAGGTTATTCGCATCTATGCATATGTGTATACTATGGAGTGTATTGGCCTGGCTTATGCATTCCGTATATGCACGTAACTTATACTTGCCAGCGAAAACTCTTATGCTTGTATGTAATTATGGGAGGTGTTCAATTGTCTATGGTTTTTATAGATATATGTATCAACATACTAATAACCGCGCCCATCTATGCCAATGTGTATGTCACTGGAGTGTATGTATCTTCGGTACCTGCATTCTAATATATGCACATGAAGCACACTTCGGGACAGATAGATTCCCCATTTCTCCACTGGTGAACTTATTAGCAGCTCATCAGCGCTTTCAGTTGCATAAAAGCTTCCGAAAGTGGTAGGAAAAGTGTAAGCCAATATAACACGTCTACATGACGTGTTGTGGGTCGAGAAATACTCCCATACTAGTGATATCGTGTCCTCATCTGCACAATTCTCCAGTATCCAGTCGCACTATCATTTTGAGCTCTTCTCTATGCCAGAAGAGAGCTACGGGGCTCCATCCAATGCGCTAGGCGGATAACTGTAACTGTCAATTAACCGAATATTCATAGAATTATTCAAAATACTTTTCTTTTTTATAAATGTGCAGTGACAATTTCATAAAGTTTGTCAATGGTTAACTAATGTTTAATTTCAATGCAAATAAAAAATAATCCATCAATACTAAAAATGTAATTTTCCAAAAGGTTTGATCGAAAACAATGACAATAGAGGAGGGAAGTAGAACAAATGTTGTAAACATAGATTCGCATTGTGTTAGAAAATTGAAATTTAAGAGAGAATTTAATGTTTAATGGGAAAATATAAACGATTCTTTATAAAAATGTCTATTTGTAAACAACTTAAGGAAGAGATGCAATATTATATGGGAAATTATTACTAAAGTGGCTTAAAGGCACAACATTACTCATCATTCTGAACCCTAAAAGGGACGCTGAATGAGCGGAGTTTAAAATGACAATTCATATGACATTAGCAAACAATCAAAGTACAAAATATTGCCTATTTAAACCAAACTTAGTGCTTTAATAGTTAATAAGGAATAGAAATCCTTAATGTCACTAGGTACGTACTTAAGGAATTCAAAATTGAGAAATACATACTCAACGTGTCTAGAATGCAAGTTTAACACCCATTGCTAATAGAACAGGAAAATTACTTTTGAGTGAAATATGAAAATGAGTGATTAACTCAATACAGTAACCTTAACTCACTCTTTAGTGCTGACGAAGTCACGATCTTCCTCGTTAGGTAATTCGTTAGTTAGAATTGGACGGTTAGAACCACCATCATACCTTTCTGAATCAGGGCGTTGTTCAATTTTAAAGACACGAAATTGTAAAGCCACTGCAGCGAACTGAAAGAAGTCAGCTAATAAGATATGTATGAAAGCAAAAGAAATATACTAAATATCATGAAGACAGTTGATTAAATTGATAAATACATTAAATGTGACTAGCAGTGGAGTCTAGGACGTACTTTTCGTCCTATGTGAGACATGTCAGTTGGGTGTACCTGCATTTTACAGTGGATCTTCACTCCGGGAATCGAACCCAGTGGTTACTATTTTAGTTGTATTAACATCACAGTAGCGTGTTCGTGAATCGGAATAAACAGAGTAAGATTTGAAATAAATATATCGATTTAAGTCATTATATTTTATGAGAAACAAAAAAGTGAAAATAATCCAAACAATAACGGAGAACTAAAGATAGGATTATATGTAACACATAATGAATAAAATCGATACTGTAGATTGCTCATCTGTTAGTTACCTATTATAGTAAACTGAGCCTTAGCTCAACAAAGTCCATGATTCCATCGTACACGAGAAGTGCTTTGAAGAAACCCGTAATCAAACAATAACTTAAGTGTCTTCCATCTTGAAGATCGCGCTTCATATCAGCAAAGTGAAGTGAACTGCTGTGCAGCATACACACCCTACGATAATTGGAAGAGCACTTAGCATGCGACTGAAGTGATGTAAGTTGAGAAAAGTCAAACAAGTTGTTCGTATCCATACAAGCATTTCATTATCTACTGATCTAACAAGTATCGTTTCACAATTTGAGGGAAAAAACGTTAACTAAAAATTGTTTACTGTCGTTCAAGATTTTTTCACCAAACTACATTGTTTATGCACTCTACATTCAGATGAGAATGTCACGACAGGGAACATAATAATTAATACACTTAAGTGTAAGAGATTGGATTTGCTAATAGACAAGACTTGATGTGATCATAAGCCCTAACACAGACTACTTTGGTAAAATAAACAATCTTCAGTAGCTATGACGTACTTCTTTAGTGTATCTTTTAATAGCAGACTATTGCAGTCACTAGCGTTTAACCAAAAAAATCCAGCATTTTATACTGGCTGTTTGTAGTTTTTTCCCCGACGGATTGAATAAATGAAAAATTAAAAAACCCTACGTAAACATTTATCATCAGAAGTATTCAAAATAAGATAAATACATATATGCATAGGAAAGATTATTGTTTAAATATAAGTAAATGTATACCAGTTAACTTGTAAGCAGATGGTGTACCAAAGTCACTAGGTAGATACAACCACTGAAGAAGATTATTAATTTCTATCGATTCTGTATACCAAGGGTAACCTGATAGAGTATAGAAAAATAATGAAAATTCAATCCAAAAAATCAAATTGTAAGGAACTAAAAATAAAACCATCAGTTACTCAATATGTCTAGGTCGGCCAAATCTAGCGAATATGTCAATATGACTTTGTAAATCCAGTTATGTGTGAATTTTCCTGCTGCTGATAGTACGAACTGCGTTTGATCAGTTTATATTGACACACATCAGTCCTAAATTGATTATCACGATAGTATTTTTTAGTTACACATTTTAGCTAAGTTGGTTTTTGACTACAAATGAAATACGGAAGCTAGTTTTATCCTGTTCAACAGGATACGCCAGACTGTTTAGAATATTTTAGACTATATTACGGTAAAATAGTTAGATTATTTGTGTGTACAGTTAGGTGCAGGATTGGCTTGCTGAAATACATAAAGCTTTAAAAATAGATCATTGGAGGAAATAGTAACAGTCAACAGTTAAACAAACCGAAATGTCAAAATCTCGCCTACTTCTTTCATCACCATTCTAATCAATGATACTGAACATTTAACATGAATGAATGGTAAGAATTATTTAAATTTTTGTCACTTATCTCCACAAAATTATAACATAAACAAGATACTGTATGCTGTAACATCCTGTAATGATATGTAAACTATAAAATATAATTCAAATTGTTTGTGGACTTTTACAAGGGCCAATATTTCGGACAAAAAAATTAATTTCTCAATAAACAAGCTTTAGGTACCATCAATGACTGTAAAATCTACAGCACGAATCCTTAATGTAACATTTATTTTGATAAAGAAGCAGGAAATTTTCAAAGGTCTAACTTGTCTTACCAGATATGCTAAGATTGATTTAAAGACAACTCTAATTAAAGACCAATATAAGCTTTAATACGACAGAGTGTCGATGAGTACAGTGGCGATCCTCTTCCCTAGCGTAAGACTCCTAATAATAGGCATCATCGATCGCAGGTAGAATTAAATCTAGGACTGTTACATATTACAATTACTACAAAATCATTCGATTCCTCAACCAAAAACCAATAGTTTATTTAATTTACGATCCAGGGTATTTGTCTAAACTAGTGAATTTCTACGACGAGGCAATTAAAAAATGCAGCATAAAATAAAATCTATCACAGTACGAATATAATTATACTAGAGAACTAATTTATTTGACAATGAAATGATGTAAATGTTTAAAAACTTCATAATTTGTTATTAAAATTCCAAACGATATTACTACAAAGTAACAATATTAACCAATGACTTCAATTCATGATGTCACTGACAAGTGGACTGAGCCATATTGTTAGGTGTAGACTACCTGATTAGGATCCGCGAGACGATAGCAACCGATGGTTAGACACCATGAATGACATGGGTTCAAAATCGTTTGCAATGACGCAGGTGCATCCACTCTTTGTGTTCTCCCAAATTCTAATCTTCTGAATTCTTCATGTCCCTTTTCTTTCTCTTTCCAAATTTATTTCAATGGATTATACTCTTTGAATAACATCTTCAAACCCCAATTTTTCTGATTACTGCCTATACTTTTACAACCTCTACCACTTTGAGATTTGAATCGACAACTGCATCTCTGTACTAATGTGGTATGGCAACTTGAACTGATGTACGTACGTATGAAATTCTACATTGCTGTTGACTGAACCTACATAGACAAGATAAGGCTTAAAAGGAAAATCTTCAACAAGAAAAAGAGGTGGAGAAAGAAAAACTTACTCAAACATAGTCCAGGTGGTAGACCAATACAACTGGCATATTGTATTGGTATAAGCGCAGCTAGAATTACCATATAAGAAGGCCACAGACGTGCACATACTCGTCGTGGAGAGAATAAAAACACTAACATCAACAGTAAGTATAGTACACTGAAAGCATCGACACGTGCGCATGTAGTGATAACGGTGATACAATGACAAAGCTGGAGAAAAAAAGTAAATAAATAGATTGAAGTGAGGTGTTTTTGCACAATCCCGTTTTCAAACATAGATCAATAAGTAGTTCTAGTAACATGTAAATAAACAGAAACTACAAAACACTGACAAATAATAAACATCCTATTAGCATAATTTGTCTACTGCAAATTACAAGCATTCGGTGAACAATGTAAATAACATTTTGCATAAATTTGAAAATTATTCGTGACATACTCATTAGTTATATAACAATAATAAAGTTTATCTGAGAAACACTGACTGGGTTGAAATGATTTATAGCCAAGCACAAATTAATGGCTAGAACTCTAAATATGAATCTATCCTATTCATTGAAATTCTATCATGAAGCTAATCGAAAAACCTCATACATCAGTAAGGTTCTATTAACTGGATTTTACTGATGATTTTACTCGCTAGTTCAAAAGCGTCTTAATCTGTGAGCTAACGATAGATCGATTACAAATATTAGTTTAGAAAATAGTAATTCAGAAAATGTTGATTATGTATGATGTACCGTACGTATAAAGTTTAACACTGAAATGTTTGGAAAAAATTCCCCCCTGGAGAATTATACCTCGTATCTTACAATATAAAAAACTGTAGTCTAAGGAAAATATAAGAAATACCGACCTCCAAACCAAATTTGTAGAATCCATAATTAAAAGCAAATTTGACCACATTCAATAAATCATAACCCATGGAATTGATCGTAACACCAGGAAATACAATCCCTTCAGCTGGACGAGTAATTTTATCATTGTTGTAAAATTGACGTTGTCTATATGCTATAGCATGCCAGATTACACTGACAACCAGTAATGCACCATATGGCTAAAAGAAAAATAGTAATGATAAACACAATTATCAAAGAATCGAATTTCATTAAACATACATTTGATGCAAAAACACTAATTGCTATAAGACTGAATTAGTTCAGTAAGAAAAACACAATAACCGTATGACCATGTAAATTTTTGCAATAGTTATACTTATAAACCCATAAATAAAATCGGGTGAGACTCTAATTTATGAACGAGCGAATCAGAAGAGTTTTAGAGATCTCAAGGTTACGGTGCAAACTTCAGTGCTTAATGCTAACGTACGATCGGTTTACAGAGAATTCTGTACGAAACGTGATAATTGAGAGGCTATAACAAATAGAACGGCGAGACTATAATTTGTGAACGAATCAATCAGGTATAAGATAACAAATCTCGGATTTTAACGCGAAAGCCTTCCATCCATTTTGCTAAATATTTAGCCAAACATGAATATATAGATTTCCGGCATCACAGCTGATGTCAGTTTGTGATGGAAACCCCATATATAATTCTTAACTAAGGCAAATTATGACAATTACCGTGAACTGGATAATAAAAGCACCAGTAACACTGGCTGCAGCCAGGTACTACAATATATACGGATGTTTGGAGAGCGAACAGACTCCTACATAGGCTTGTTTATGTGGATTGTGTCGTTATCCACAAGTGGCATTTTGTGCACTCAACAACCGGAGTGCACATAAACAATATTGAAGCTATGTGGTCGAGGCTCAAAGAGTTTTTGAGACTTTATCATGACTCCAGAGGCCGACTATTCTGTAGTCGTATGGATGGTTTCCTCTACTGCATGCATTACGATTTTAGAACCTCTGAACCTCTTTCTAACCTTGGCAAGTTTTTGAACCACGTATCCACTTTATTTCCTTTGGTTTGTATAATATTTTTGCTCTATACTAACTGTTTTCTGACTGGCTAATATTTCTCAAGGTCACTTAAGATTCGTTCAAAGGTCGTCCATAAATTAGAGTCTCGTCAAAACTTAGCAATCGCTACAACCGCGTACTGATAATTACCATGTGACTAGCTTGTGAGGTAATTCTTGGAGTTCTAGTGAAAAGGCACGACCAAAGGAGTAAATCCGTGTCGAGCAGAGACAACTATCTACCTCAGACAATGGAAGATGGTTGCACAATTTCGTGGATTGGTTGAAGTAAGGAGTTAACATCATCGAATGCCGGCTCAGTAGTCTAGATGTTAGATGTTCGCGCGCGAGACCGAAGGTCCTGGGTTCGGAACCCGCATGTGGGATCGTGGATGCGCACTGCTTAGGAGTCCCACACTGGGACGAAACGGCCGTCCAGTGCTTCCAGGTCTCCAAAGGTGGTTTAAAATTGGTCGATTCATGATCTCAATTAATAAATAGTTCACTTAAATTTTAAGCAAACAAAAAACGTTCGTATATATAACTTTAAGACTAACCATAATATATTGACGAAAGTTGTCGACCTTTTTAAAACCGAGCCAGTTAGTTGGATCTAATGTAGTGTTGTGAAGCTTGAAACCCAATAAAAAAATGTAGCAAAACAATTACGTTAAGCAAATGAAATAAAATAAATTATTTTCTAGGCGCAACAATCATGAAATAGATATTTCCCATTTAGAGTCAATTTAGAATCTGTCAAAATGAATAATAAAACAGACTGAAATAATACAGTAGTAATGAGACTTCACAATGACAATATAGTATGACAAAAAGGTATGTAACAATATTGGAATTCAAGATCTATAGGAAGATAAAGTGCAAATGGATCTAGGTATATGTGACTAATTCTGAGTCATGTCTTCAACTACTAATCACGGTTCTAGTGTGGATCAAATGCTTGAGAGAGAAAGTGGAACAATTCACACCATTAAATAAATTAACAAAAACACAGCTTTCTAATGATAAGTAAAAACAACCACCACTAGAATATATGAATATTTCCATTGCTGTTTTTTTAACAATAAGGAGATTCAAGTTCGAGTATTGCTTGACATAAATAGGGAACTATGTTTTTGGTGGGCTAATAGTGAGAGAATATTCCTCGGTTTACCTGTTAAGAGTATAACGGTACTGAACAGACCCAATAGATGAACGAAACATGTCACATGATTTTCTTTATATGAGACTTACCAAGTACAGATTCGCGTAATTGACTTTGAGCCACTCTTTATGTATGAGGACTACTGATGCTACTCGCTTGCCCAAATCGAAATAGGAGGAGCGTGACTCGAGCTGATGATCCATTGGTTGAAAGTCGAACGCTCTAACCACTAAATCGCAGCTATAACAAGACGTCTTTCCTTTCCTAAGAAGCAGAATGCTTATGTTATCCCTCAAAAACGATTTCCAACAAAACAGTCTAGTGTGCCAATATCCCATTCGAATAGAATCAGTCAGAGTACAAATATCATATTGGAAGAAGAGAACAACTAAAACAACAATTAATTTGTATTACCTTTACACAAGATGATGATGAAATGTTCCAGTTGACAGCACTCAACTGAAAAGTCATCTTACAAAGTATTTGAACACTAGTCCATATAAAAATAAATGTTGTCATGAACCCATGCAGATATGGAAAAGGGAAACAAACGACGAGAAATATAAGAGAGATAATATTCGTTGCTGAAACCTACAATAAAATAATTTTCAAAAAAAATCGATTTAAGAATATTATTTAAATTAATAAATGAATTCGAGTATACTTTATCACATCCTATAATTAAGGATACTACTCATAATAGATTTTCGAAAGAATTTATAAGTACAAATTCCAGAAAAGTTAGTAGGAAGATTAAATTGATACAGTCATCATCAACATAGGACCTGAAACAAATGTGATTCGATCTAAGTTGCTACATCTCACACACAAACACAATAAGAGAAAATCAACAAGATAAGAAGTATAGAGTGAAAAAATCATATGAAAAGTAATAAAAATCCAAGCATAAGAAATATAATGGAAAAGAAGTAAATAAAATCAAAAGATGTAAAATTACGATTGGCGTTAAATATAGCATTACTTATTATAATCGAAATGTTAGAAACAGTTTGGGGATTATGAAGTAATAATGATAATAGTAATAATATTATTATTATTAATAATATATTTGCAATATCCTAACGAGTAAAGCATTGAGTTTCCGACATTTCAGGACTTAATGTAAGTTGGTTTTTCAAAGAATAACGTAACTAAATCAAAATAACAAATTTAAATAGTACGAAAAAAATAAGTCAAAATATTAGTATTAAAATAATAAAAGAATTTAATAGTATACAATATTTCAAGAAATTCAATTTTTTTCCCAATAATTTAAAACTTACATCATTCGTACAAGTGACAATTATCACTAATCCAACTACTTTAATCCAATGTATTTCAAGGAAACGCCAACAATGATTTGTGAGACTATCAGCCCAACAATATAATTTCGAAACAACTATTTGAAATGCTGAATTCACATCTTCAATAAAATCTATAAAAAGATATATGAAGGGTTTAACAAAGGAGATATAATGACTCAAGTTGCTGTAATTTTTAAACGATGAGACAACAAAGAGTAATTAAGATAACCAGCTGTTAATATATAAGTAGTAATTAAATTCACTTATGCATATTATTTTGAATAGACAACTAAATAGGACCACAGGAAGTAGTTTCATGTAGTTTTGTTAGTACTATTATATAATGTTTTTTTAAACAAAAGTAACGTAAACGATTGAATACAGTCACGTTTTTCGATTGTTTAAAATCAGCATTTAAACTATGGAGGGTCTCTCAGACATGCTACTGGACTTTAATTTAGCTGCCGATGACGTTGAGAAACATATGTGTTGGTAGTGTAAACGAGTTATCTGTAAAGAACCTTTTCAACACTATTTGTGCGGCTAACAGCGTTGACAATAGAATGAATGCTCATGATTAATTCCCCATGTAAATAAGTAAAGGATAAACCTTAAACTAGCAAAATGCGAAATACTTCTATGAAAATAATAAGTCTGTGTATAAGCTAACTCTTGGAAGAAAGTGATTAGAAATCGTCGGAATGCTTTTGTATCTGATAACTGAGTGATTCTCAGTGGAGATGAAGAAAGTGAGATTAAATTACGTTAAGCAATAGCTATAGTGTGTGTATCTCAGCCTTGACCAAATATGATACAATAATAATGTTAATCTGGTCAGAAAATGTTGTATATAATGAAACAGTGTAGGCACCTGAACTATACGCTTGTGCAGAGTGGCCCCATATAAAGCTTATTGTCACACACAGGCAATACCGTATAGATGCTAAAGACTGGAAATATAACAGAAAAAATGGAGTGTTTTCTGTCTTGGTTACATTTGATACGGTTATCCAAGGTTTGAAACTAAAAAATTTGACACAAATTTTGGGAAGAAAATTAAAGAATAAACCGAACATAATCACAAATCCACTTTTTAATAAATCACTGGATAAATTAGTTGTCGAGTTGAACAATAATACTTCAAAAGTGATGGGGATAAAAGTCAGTCACAACGTAAAATTTCATACGTACGTACATCAGTCCAAGTTGCCATACCACATTAGTACAGAGATGCAGTTGTCGATTCAAATCTCATAGTGGTAGAAGTTGTAAAAGTATAGGCAGTAATCAGAAAAATTGGGGTTTGAAGATGTTATTCAAAGAGTATAATCCATTGAAATAAATTTGGAAAGAGAAAGAAAAGGGACATGAAGAATTCAGAAGATTAGAATTTGGGAGAACACAAAGAGTGGATGCACCTGCGTCATTGCAAACGATTTTGAGCCATGTCATTCAGGGTCTCTAACCATCGGTTGCTATCATCTCGCGGATCCTAATCAGGTAGTCTACACCTAACAATATGGCTCAGTCCACTTGTCAATGAATTCATAGATTTGTGCCATGTTTTGGTCTGGCCGCCCCTAGCTTTCTTCTATCCTACTCCTACACCATAAAACATCTCTCGTCAGGGCATTTGATGGCCGGGCAAACGTATCACGCATCCCAGCAATCTCACTGAAGTTTTACCACTTCACCAACTGACTCGCCACCCTTAACTATTACCCGTTTCGTAACAACTGCATTACTTACTCGATGGTCCCACGATATACGAGCAATATTTCGAAGACATATATGATCAAATACTAGTAACCTACGAATATCCTCTACTCTTACCGGCCATGTTTCACTGCCATAAAACTAGGACAGAACGAACTGCTGCGCAGTAAACACGTCCTATGGTTGATAAATGGATATCTCGCCTACGCCATAAATGACGCAAGTTGGTAAAAGCTAGTCGAGCCTTCTGTATCCGTGCTGAGATTTAGTCACACACCAGACAACAAGGGCTGATGAGACTTCCAAGATAAGTGAAGCGGTCGACACACAACTACTTCACTCTTTATCATTAGTTCAGGTGTCGAAACAACCCAATCCCGAAGCAACATTTTGTGGATAAAAAATTTAAATAAACATTCATAACTTGTCTTAGAAACAAAGTACACTGCCATGTTACTATACATATTATATTCATTTAAACACATAAACATAGGTACAAGAAGGGACCAAAAAGATATGCGCCACATAAATCATTCGATTTGTGTGAGGGCTAGGATACTGCTTGGTTGCCCAAACCGGGTTTACCATGTTAAATATGTTAGTATTCTAACTTATTGCGCACCACGTACCATGAAATACTGATAAGATAGAAGACAGTGACCTCAAAAAACTACAACCACTGCACAGAGAAATGTTATTTTGATCCTTAATTTTGTTTAATCAAGTTAATCATATGGCGTTACGGAAAAAGATCAACAGTGGAATTATCGATTTTCTTAAGTATTACCATTTCACTCTCACTCCTAGTTCAACTGAATCCTTTCCTTAGGTCATCGGCTATTCTATTTTGCATAAGCAAACTGATTCATGGTCATCTGTTTCAACCTTCTATGCATGATTATAACTTTGTTACTGAAACAACTCGATGATAACTGACTAGAGATTTTGCTCTGAAGGTATATTTTTAATTGTTAATTAGGTTTTATTAGTCGACTTAAGCTAAAGTGGGAAACCAAGAAGATTTATAATTGTCCTTTAACTATATCTCATTGGTTCAGTCTTAAACATGAGCTGGAATAGTTCTATACAACATAATAAGTCATGCTATGAGCAAATAAAGTCGGAGACCTTTTAAAACCATTTTTAGAAATATTGTTTTCGAAAGATAAACAATTAAAGGAATGTAGTTATCTGTTAATTGAAATAATTAGATGCAATGACCAGAAATGCTAATAAGAAATCTCAAGAGACTGGAGGCCACCGATAATTATTTCCTCTAAAACAGCAATCTCGTGAAGAGATGATGATGTTTCTACAAATAAGTGTTGATAAAACCACAAACCCGACTTAGATAACTACTTCACACAATAAAAGATTTAAGGTCTAATAATCTGCAAGTCAAAAAATCTAAATAAACATAAGATTAACTAAAGAAAAAAATGATAGAAAGTTGTAGAGAAAGAGTTAATCTACGAATAAATGTTTAAGTCTGAAACCTACTGGACATGTTACTACTCTGAGAAATAGATGTATTTGAATTGTGATCGTCAGAAATCCCAGAACGTGAATTCACAGAACCCCTGGAAACTTGAGGCAATCTGAAATATTAATAGAGTGAGACCATTTAACGACATAAGATTAGTTTCATCATATAAAATGTTTATATGATATATGTTTATGATATGATTATATACACATCGCAACTTATAGATACGACTATTAGGTCCGATATAAAGTACATTTTTTGTTTGAAAATGATAGAACCTAGTGAAAATGTGTAAAGTTAAAAAATCTCTTCTGCCATTTTAAATTATACATTACGACGATTAGGCAGAAGTACCAATTATGAATAATCATGAAAAGTAGTTTTCATATGAATAGTATGAAATGCAAATTGTATCCATGGTTTAAAATCTAAATGCAGTATAGTGACAAAAAGAAGTTATAGCCAATCCTTCTCTTGAAATAACTTTCTATCGCTTCTCATTGTATAGTGATTGCAGGATTTATCTAGAAGATCCATACAAACTTGGTCCCATAGTTTGAAAAGCGAATGAATTTCAGGATTTTATAAGACTAAATGATGCAACAACCTAGAATGGTAATTTTTACCATAATAACTATATTTTCGACATTGCGGTAATTTCAAACAACTAAAAATATCAACTAAAGGCAGAAAAGATAAATGCAAAAGCACCATCGTACAACATATGATATAACACGATACCGTGAAGATATGTTTTAAGCAATCTAATTGAATATATATACACTTCACAAAACAAATATCGTAACTCTATTTTTTCTACTCCACAAAAACTAATTTATATTATATAAATATGAAGTCACTTTGTACTGCGATTAATGTGATTTTAAAAACAAAAGAAACAACTTAAAATTGGCACCATTAAAACAAATCTAATCAAATAGTAAAAAGGATTTGATTCGCAAATCATGAATGAACTTAGAACCTTATCTGTATGATGATAACAACTGAAAAATATATATATCTCGATATTAAAAATTGTCAGTTACATAAGTCAAACGTAGGCTATTAACTATCATGAACATAAGTATAAATATATATTATTGGTTATTTCAAACCACTAGAAGAAAACATAAAACTTACTGGAAACGATTTAATGCGGATGCCTTAAGGAATGGTATATGAAAGTAATGCACTTGTAAAATTATAACAACTAAGAATACAACTGGTGTTAGTAAACGTTCGAAAAGAGCTGCACTTTCAAAAGTTTCTAATCCAAACGCCTTTAAGCTATTAAATAAAAAGAAAATGTCAAAAATAGGAAAACAAATAGAATATATCACATAATTTATCAGTGTCCTACTTTATCTTACGCGAAATAAAATATTTCAACCTTTACACAATGAAACATCATTTCAAAGAAAGAAAACATTAACTTGGTAAAAACTTACATCTCAGGTGATAGATGTAGTTTATTCTGCCAGAAACTGGGTGACTCATTAAATTGAAAAGTATAAATACACAACAGCATCGCCATAGAATATACAACAATGACCCACCAAAAACATAACATTTGACGACGCCAAATAGCATAACTTATCTGAAAAAGGGGAATTATGAGTTTACAGATTTGAAGTAAAAAACGCATTCAAAAGAATATACGGTAGTATGATGCACAACAATTTCATAATAAATATACCTAGATGAAGCAGATGTGCCAAAAAAAGTTTATAGTGATACTTCGCGTCATATAATTACATGGAATTGAAGGCAGACAGTAATTGACAAAAGCAGATTCATTAGATTTATAAATATTTATTATTGTAACAGTAATCGAAAAAGTGCATACTAACATTGAGATATACAATTTCCCGCTACATGCCAGGACTGAAAGAAAATTAAATAGCTTCAAACTATTGTAACGGGTGGACTGCAGGTTAGATGCGCAGCGTATTTATCGATCGATTCAGTGACACGTAAGGACGACCTAGAGTCCCGATTGGTCCCGCTTCCCTGCCTAGCCCAGCCAGTTGAGTCCAGAACACAAATCACAGCCTCTGAGATATGAATTGCCTCTTCGTCGTCTCTGCCTATTCTCCCACTGACTGCAGCTCAGATGATGTAAAAGATGAGTTTTACAGAAAGCTTTCGGACCTTCTCCGAAAAGCTAAGCGCTCGGATGTAGTAATAGTGGCCGGTGACTTTAATGCTCAAGTAGGTAAACTAAGCGATAGGGAAAGACACCTAGGTGGATCTTATGGTGTCGTGGCTCAAAGAACAGATAATGGCGACCGTCTGTTGCAGCTATGCTCAGATAACCGCCTGTTCCTTGCAAATACTAACTTTAAGCATAAGGAAAAACATCTTTTAACATGGCGACCCCCTAATTCGTCCCAACGTTGGACCCAAATAGATCACATCGCTATCAGCCACCGATGGAGGGGCTCGATAGAAGACTGTCGCTCATTCTGGAGCACATGCCTAGATTCAGATCATGCTCTAGTGCGAGCGCGTATTTGCTTGCGTCTTACTGGACGTAGGAAAGACGCTGCAAGGAAACCTCTTAGGGCCTACTTAATGATAGTCAAGCTAAGAGTATATTTCAGGAACAACTAGGAAAACAGTTAGGCAGCCATGTATGTGATGCCCACCCCGATGCAGCATGGAATGATATCCGAAAAGCTGTGGAAACAGCAGTGATATCTGCTAGTAAGGTAAACCAGAAGGTTAGGGAGCAACACTGGATCTCAGCAGCATCTATCGCACTGATAGATGCTCGGAAACTCATTCCACCTGGCTCTGAACATAATGAAGAGCGGAGTCAGCTTAAGCGCAAGCTGACAAGAAGTCTACGCAATGATCGCGAACAGTGGTGGGTAGCGAAAGCAAGAGAGATGGAAAAGGCAGCGGCAATAGGTAATAGCAGACAATTGTTCAGACTCGTTAAGGAAACCGGAATTAGGAACCCGACCGTTAGCGAAACAATCTCAGAGAAAGATGGACATATTATTCATTCTCAATCCAGGAGATTGGATCGATGGGCAGAACACTTTAGGGATCAGTTCAACTGGCCTTCAGCCACACTTCGGTTTCCCACGATCTCCAGTCAACCTGAATGGCAAGTTAATGTAGGTCCTCCGTCCCTTTACGAAGTTGAAAAAGCCATAGGAAATCTGAAACGAGGGAGAGCAGCAGGCCCTGACAGGTTTACTCCTGAGATTTTTAAGGATGGTGGTCCAGTATTAGCAATGAGATTAACTGAGGTCTTAGGTAGAATTTGGGAACTGGACGTAATCCCATCTGACTGGTCTCAATCACTGATTGTGCCAGTCTATAAGAAAGGACAAAAGTCCTCTTGTGACAATCACAGAGGAATCAGTTTGACTAATATAGTGTCTAAAATATTAGCTTCAATAATACTTCGACGCCTAACTAAAGCTCGTGAAGAGCAGATTAGAGAAAACCAGGCTGGTTTTCGACCTGGACGTGGTTGTATAGATCAGATATTCACACTACGTCAGGTTCTAGAACACAGACACACATTCAGACGCCCCACAATGGTAGTATTTCTCGACCTTAAGGCGGCATTCGACTCGGTTGATCGTGAGGTTCTATGGCAGTGTTTGTCACTGAAAGGAGTACCAAAGAAGTACATTAACCTTATAAAGGCTCTCTACTCGAACACAACTGGTAGAGTGAGAGCTTATGGCGAACTGTCATCAGAATTGATTACCTCAAGTGGTGTTCGTCAGGGCTGTCCACTCTCCCCATTCTTGTTCAACTTTGTGGTCGACGTACTTTTAGAGATAACACTCTCCTCATCTAAATTTCCAGGGGTTGAACTTCTACCGGGAGGTTCACTTGTTGACTTAGAATATGCTGATGACATAGTTTTATTTGGTGAAGACGCTGACAAAATGCAGAGTCTTCTGACCACTCTAAGCAACAATGCAAGCATGTTCGGGATGCGATTCTCTCCCTCGAAATGCAAAATGTTGCTTCAGGATTGGGTTACATCGACACCCGAACTAGTGATAGGGAGTGAAGTAGTTGAGTGTGTCGACCGCTTCACTTATCTTGGAAGTCTCATCAGCCCTTGTGGTTTGGTGTGTGACGAAATCTCAGCACGGATACAGAAGGCTCGACTAGCTTTTGCCAACTTGCGTCATTTATGGCGTAGGCGAGATATCCGTCTATCAACCAAAGGACGTGTTTACTGCGCAGCAGTTCGTTCCGTCCTACTTTATGGCAGTGAAACATGGCCGGTAAGAGTAGAGGATATTCGTAGGTTACTAGTATTTGATCATAGGTGTCTTCGAAATATTGCTCGTATATCATGGGACCATCGAGTAAGTAACACAGTTGTTAGGAAACGGGTACTAGGTAAGGATGGCAAATCAATTGATGAAGTAGTGAAACTTCATCAGTTGAGATGGCTGGGACACGTGTTACGTATGCCCAACGACCGACTGCCTCGACGTGCTATGTTCAGTGGTATAGGAGTAGGTTGGAAGAAAGCTAGGGGCGGCCAAACCAAAACATGGCACAAGTCCATGAAGTCACTGACAAGTGAACTGAGTCATGTTGGTAGGTGTAGACTACCTGGTTGGGGACCGCGAGATGATAGCAACCGATGGTTAGAGACCCTGAATGACATGGCTCAAAATCGTTTGCAATGGCGCAGGTGCATCCACTCTCTGTGTTCTCCCAAATTCTAATCTTCTGAATCCTTCATGTCCCTTTTTTCCTCTTTCCAAATTTATTTCACTGGATTATACTCTTTAAATAACATCTCCAAACCCTAATCTTCCCGATTACTGCTTATACTCTTATTACCTCTACCACTACGGGATTTGAATCGACAACTGCATCTCTGTGCTAATGTGGTGTGGCAACTCGAACTGATGTACGTACGTACGAAGTTCTACGTTGTTACTGACTGACTGACTGACTGAGATATGAATCATCATATCTCAGACATACTCTATTTATATACCAACCAACCAGACCACATCGTACCATAAAATAGAAAACAACATTTGTACAATATTTGACAGGTGAAATGAATATCGACCAATGGAAATGTCCATTTAAGGTCCAAGGACACCATTAGACTTAACACGATAATGATTGGTATATTCCTCTGCATCCCTAACACAAACATCTAGTATATTTAGAATAATGGGAAAAAAGTAACAACGAAGTATTATGTCCTTCTGCATCAACAAAGTTTACTTATCAAACCACTTATATTTGTTTAAGTAAACTAAAATAAACTTTAATCTGCTGACTCTATCTCACCTGAAAAATCAACATGAAGTAAATCAGCATAACCATGTAAACAATACGAAACACGACGACAGGTTGTTGAACGGAAACCAACAGCATACTCAGACAACAAACGACAATCCAATACTTTACGCATAAAGAATGCATAAACTCAGCTATGACATGAAATAGAAAAGAAGAGAAACACAGGATGTGAGCATTATTTATATTTTATGTATAAAGGTAAATTTACACTTTATTTGTAACTTTAAACTAAACGTATCTCAATACGATAAAATTATCTAAATATCTAATCAAAAAATTTTATTACAAGGACATTGTTATAAATCGGTTACTACTCGTTATGGAGCATGATATTACGTGTATTGTTCGTTTAAATTGAGACATGTTTGGCGAACAATCATAATATAGAAGAGCATATAATTATTGCCAACTTAGTCCCAAACATGTGTTCAAAATAAAGTATGGTATGATTCAGATAGACAGTAAATGAAAGAGCAATATTAACGCAACTCATCTACCAACTACAATTATTTGTTCTTAATTGCTTTTTAGAATATTAAAAATAACGAATTAACCTAAAGACACATTAACCAAAGCGAGTGGAGTGGGGTGTGAGTCTGTAAATAATTGACTAGGAATCGAGAACTTTAGAGACTACGGTGAGGAAATTAACCTATTAGTTCTCTAAAAAAGGAAATGAAACGCTTCCTAAGAAAAAATTACAAAAAGTATACATATGTCAAACGTCATTAGAGATATCGTTGAATTGCGTAAAACTATGGAATAGAATAACTCAAATGGTACAATTGTATATAAAAGTATCGTGTAGAGATCCTTATCTTAAAATAAAAATGTTATAGTCCAAACAGTATCTGAAATCTGATATTATACAAACTAATCAAAGCTCCTAAGAAGAGTAGTCAAAGAAATGGCATTTCGTCCGTCGATCAGTATTCTACTGATTCATTTTAACAATCCCAAAATGTCATTTAATTACATATAAGAAAATCTTCCTACATGGTAACCATAGTGTAGAAATTATCATTTGAGGTTTCATAATCTCACTTTTGTGAAATTGACTTGAACTGACACGAAGCACTAAACTGTATATACAATGTGATAGAGAATTGAGCATTAAATCAAATCGAATACCTAGTCAAAAATCATAATGCTAGCAGGAATCACAAACAAGAAGCATCAGAAATCTTGTGAAAATTACTCCCCCTTAGAATGAAAGTATACCAACAGCTTTAAACAAGTTATGAGGATAATTGAAAATAAATTTGAATAAAATTACTGAATCGTCTGTAAATATTGTTGTCTACAGTTCCGAAAGACGCTGCAGGGCCATAAATAGCAGCATTATAGCCAGTATGTGTTTGAAAATCGTCGGCCATATTTAAGAAAGGAGTTAGCAAGATATTATTTCCTTCTTCTTTATTACTTCGCCTACGAAACTTCAAGACAGTTGGCAGAGACTTCTGAAAACGAGGAAGTGGAGTTGAGCCTGAACTTGTTTGTAAATCTTCACTTTTTAAAACAACTCGTTGATGATGTGCTGATAATCGCTTGGCTGCACGTTCCATTACAAACAACCTCAGAGTCAACCAAAAGCAAATTAAGAAGCCCATCTAAAAGAAGAGAAATTATAAGATAATGGGCTTATATTTACGTCATATTTTACTCAAATACTCAATGTAACAATAATTCCCAGTTACTTGAAAGAGACGCTTAGAAAATATCTATTCAATTTCGGTTATTACGGTTTCCCCGATAATCCATTCACAATAAATTTATTCATGACGACTGATAGTGATTATAGGATTTACACTACGTTACCTTTTAGCCTACAACTATCGTAATATAACATCGGTACGTATTTTTCGCTGTGAGAGGTCAGTTAATCTGGGCTTTTAATACACGACATCTAACATCATACCCTAATAAAGTGATGTTTCAATCCCGCTTCATTAGCGACTGGGACTATCACTTTTAAATATCCTGGGACATCACACTCCACAAATACATCACATCTGCTGAGTTTTTCCTTATTTTCTTCATTGATAAGACGACAGAACGAACTCGAATGTGCGACTACTCTTTATATAATTAGTCCACGATGGAGGGTCCATAAGATTGGATAAGTCTATGAAAAGTTTTAGCTGACAAAATACACCACAGAGTATTTTGGCGCTCAGATGTCAATTTAATATGAGCTCTGTTGTTTACAATGGCATCATTTTAATAATTTTTCTAAACAGTACCTACATGATCATAGATACTCTCTTTTGAAAATCTTAGTAACATTTTGAAAAAAAAACTAACAAGGAAAACAGTTTACATAATGCGGTTTTCATGTTAGATTAATGTCCTAATGTTTTTTGACCAACGAGTAGAAACAAACAATATTTTACTTAAATTTTATTCAAGTTGACATTGGGTGAGGAAATTTTGAGCACCAATGTCAATAGGAGTAATTTTCAGACAAAGACTGATGAACAGAATGGTCATGTGTTTTCATTTTTATCGTAATGATTTATTTAGTTTACTAAGGTGACTTTGTAAGAAAACCAGACGTCTCCTGATATTGAACTGATAAGTATGAGACATCTTAACTGACCGTAAGAATAATGCTGTTTACATGTCTTAGTTATGGTTATATCATATATATGTGAAGTTATATCTGCAGTATGAATCACTGATAACACATCTACTTCTTGCTTTTAAACTGAACTAGACAAGATACTGGTAAGAGGAAGATGATCACCTTTGTTTCAGGCTTGGTCAACGAGGTATGAATTAACTGTTAACATTCCACTTGATAGAGATGCACGTATAATTGTGCTGGCTTACTACTGAAGACAGAATATTCTTTTGCTAAAAGTTGCTAATCTGAGGTAATGGTTGATGTTCAGCGAGTGGGTTTACAGTATTTTTACTCACTAAACAGGGGGATTTTCTGAGAAATAACTTCATACTTCCAAGTCGTTTCCTACTTAAAATCCATCTGACATAGCGTAAGTAAAATACACTTGTGATACATAGAATATAATTCTGCATTTTTAAATTCAAATACATAATTTTACGATAAGTCTGCGCCCACGATTGAAGTAAATATTTTAAGTGAAGTTGTTGACACGCCAACAGATCTACTTCAGTAATTCGCACCTTTATTGGTCTGACAAACGGTGAAGCTTTAACATAAGAACAGAAAGTTTATATGGCACTTTACAATCGAGATTATTAAGTAAACTGTATATTTTTTAAAGAGTTACGTCTAGTTACTGTAAAAATTAATATTACCTGAAGAGCAAGAGCGCCAACACAATGATCTGATCTCTGCATTCCCAATTCAGATAGTTGAATACCATCGGGTGTCACTGCTTGCGGTAGTTCATCGGAGTTTAAATTTAATCCATAGATATACTGTATTAAAATTAGAACAATGGCATAGAGGACAATCAAAGGACTAGAATATAAACATGCAGCTCTAGATTTGGGAACGATCCATAGGATGCACGCAGATAAAAGCAGAATGAATGAAAGCCAACTGCGATAAACAACAGCCCAAGCCTACGAACAATGAAGCGAAAAGAAAACTCTTATACATCACAGTCAGGAAAGGGAAGGTAATGATCTATAGAAATCAGCATAATGTGTTCACGAAAGTTATTCCATACAGAAAATTGAATAAACAAATAAACAAGTATTAGAACATAAGTAGACCAACAGTAAGAAGGTATCAAGAAGTTTGAAAGTGCTGTTTCGTTTGATGCATCAGGACGTCAAGGTGAGTAGATATCAGTCATTAGCTTACCAACATAAACCGATGTACCCTGGATAGTAATTTGTAATAAAATACTTCGTCAACAAAAAGATTTGCTTCTATGACCTATTTATTCAAAAATTTCGGAACCAGATAATTAATGTGCCACGTAAATTTCTGTGCGTTACTTTAGAATTGAATGAAAGCTGATAATCTAAGCCATTTCAAAGGATAAATGGTAATTAATCATAAAAGTCTACCTGACAACTTAACTACTAGACGTAAAACCATCAAGATTTCTAACTTACGACGAGAATTCATACCATAAAGCAAAGTATTTTAAGCCAAAGTTTTGAACGTTTAAGACCACCAAATGACAAACAAATAATACAAGAATTACGTTATAGCATCACCCCTGCATCGGTTTGGGCACCCGGGCAGTATCACAGCCCACACAAAAATCAAGTGACCTGTGTGGCACATATGTATTCGGTGCCCTTTGTATTCAAATAGATAAATAGCTACAGTATAGTCTTTCTCTACATACTGAACATAGTGTAACCCCCTTCGACGTAACAGCGTTACACATAAAAAACAATCTCCCTACACATATTTAACATTGTATAATCCCTTCGATGATGTTTTTTTTGTTTTAATAGCTTTCTACTTTCTTTTCTTCTCGCTTCGGTTCGCTGTGACGATGCAACCTATACAATACACTTGTGTGGGAAACTGTACTTTTTTCGACTGTCTAGATAAACTGTTGTGAGTAACCTAACTAGACGGAACTGTGAAAAAATCGCAGACTTACTAGCAAGTTTGTAAAATCGTAAAGAACTTCATAGAAAATATTTACAAAGATTGTCAAACATTTTGTTGAACAGACATACAAAAAATAAAAAAATTTTACCATCATTGCAATAAGCGTGAGAATATAACTATTCTTGATTGCTGAATAGTGCAAACTGAGCAGAAATGGACGTTCAGTAGTAACATTATTTCCAGACCACCCATACATGTATGTGGCAAAAGGAGGGGTAAGGCCAAATAAAGCATCAAAATGAGGTTCTACAGGAGGCGATAGAAAACCTTCATTAGAATTATTTTTTGCTTCCAGATGTAGTGCAGTAGTCTGGTGCGGAAAGTTAGTAAGGGATTTTGGAACGTGGCTTGTGCAATCTGTTGACACTTCCCCTCTAATATGACTTATAGCACGAGGTAAAGATTTCTCTTCTTGATCCACGGTCGTACATTGTTTTGAAGGACTATGCTTCTGAATGAGGTTCTGGTTAGAATGCAATTCCACATAAGATTGATCTTTAGATGTTATGTTTTCATTTCCACGGTCAGTAGGCAGAGCAGAAACTGTGGTTGTCAAATTGGTAGAGAACGAATCTGAGGAATTAACTGCAGGTAAGTTTTCCTGAGATACTAATTCTCTAGTACTTGGCATATACACATCATCCACCTAGTATAAAAGCAAAGCCGTATACTTACATCGATAAATGACCAATATGGTAATAAAATAAAATAACAACACCAAAGCACATCTGCTATGAGGCCCGAATCGATGCATGCAAAATACTTGAGCCCATAATCGGATCGCTTCAAGAAATAAAACGAGTCTCGCCCTTGATACCAGATTGAATGAAAGGTTTCAACCGATTTCTGGATCACGATTAAAACATTTCACTTCTAGTGCTAACACGAATGTGAAATTCAGTAATTAATTTTATTAGTAGAATGCAAACCACTAGAAACCTATACCAAAAAAACAAATGCTTGAGCAAGTAGCTATTTTTGCTTTTGCTTTTCAACCAACTAGTGTAGGCCATACACAAAATTTAAGGATACAACGCTGTAGTATACAAATAATAATTCACACAAGTACAGCAATATTTCGATATATTCTACAGATATATGCCCACACAACACGATATAGAAAGTATTGAGGCGCACACAAATAACTACTACTGACGGATATGAATTTATTTATTTATTCAAACACATAAGCATTAGTATAAGAAGGCTCCAAACATAAAGATGCTACACCGTCACAAGGCTTATGTAAGGGGTAGATTACTGCTCAAACGCCCAAACCGAAGCAGGTGGTTTTCTTAGGCGGCCACTCCCAGAATATTTGACCTAGAGGTCCAACCCACAAGGCAGTGGAGAAACGTCAGGAGATGAAGTCTAACGGGAACCGGTGGCCAACAATTGGTTCATATGCCATTTCTTCCTCCGGGATGTTGGCACCCGAACTAATAATAGGGAATGAAGTAATTGAGCGTGTCGATCGCTTCACTTATCTTGGAAGTCTCATCAGCCCTTGTGGTCTGGTGTGTGACGAAATCTCAGCACGGATACAGAACACTCGACTAGCTTTTACCAACTTGCGTCATTTATGGCGTAGGCGAGATATCCGTCTATCAATCAAAGGACGTGTTTACTGCGCAGCAGTTCGTTCCGTCCTACTTTATGGCAGTGAAACATGGCCGGTAAGAGTAGAGGATATTCGTAGGTTACTAGTATTTGATCATAGGTGTCTTCGAAATATTGCTCGTATATCGTGGGACCATCGAGTAAGTAACACAGTTGTTAGGAAACGGGTACTAGGTAAGGATGGCAAATCAATTGATGAAGTAGTGAAACTTCATCAGTTGAGATGGCTGGGACACGTGTTACGTATGCCCAACGACCGACTGCCTCAACGTGCAATGTTCAGTGGTATAGGAATAGGTTGGAAGAAAGCTAGGGGCGGCCAGACCAAAACATGGCACAAGTCCATGAAGTCACTGACAAGTGAACTGAGTCATGTCGGTAGGTGTAGACTACCTGGTTGGGGACCGCGAGATGATAGCAACCGATGGTTAGAGACCCTGAATGACATGGCTCAAAATCGTTTGCAATGGCGCAGGTGCATACACTCTTTGTGTTCTCCCAAATTCTAATCTTCTGAATCCTTCATGTCCCTTTTTTCCTCTTCCCAAATTTATTTCACTGGATTATACTCTTTAAATAACATCTCCAAACACTAATCTTCCCGATTACTGCTTATACTCTTATTACCTCTACCACTACGGGATTTGAATCGACAACTGCATCTCTGTGCTAATGTGGTGTGGCAACTCGAACTGATGTACGTACGTACGAAGTTCTACGTTGTTACTGACTGACCAGGATGCTGGAGCCCATGAGCACCATTGGTTTAGAATCAGGATTTTCCAAATCCCATAGGTGAACCCTCCGTGTCCACCAACGCGTTTTTCGTCCTCTCAACTTCATAAACAACACCCCCACTGCGGGAAGGCAGTGAGTGGGGCTTCCCTGGCAGTGGCTGTATACGTCACTGATATGAATACAGTTCAGTAGTTTCAGGAAACATAGTACCGCCTATTCCAAGTTCGCAATGTTATTCGTATTTAAATTGAAAGAAGCACATGAAGATTCATATATCCACCTGAAAGATTAACCCATTTATGTTTTTTAGTGCACGAAGAGAGTAACACAATAGTAGAGGTTACTAAAAATTTGGCAGTGTCACTAATCGCTATAATTATACAGCAATTACAAATCGTGGTTGAAAACTGGGATGCCTGAAATAATACTTTCAAAACGTGAATAATTCGATTTTCTATAATGTACTTTGACCATCTGGTACAGAGGTAGAGAACAAAAATCAAGTACTTAGGAAAATTGTAAGCTTTAAGTAAATAGGATGGCATAAATCACGAGAGAAATATACTCATTACAAGCAAAAAACCTTTATAACATTTAAAAAGTCCCCCTGAATATATGCTTGGAAAGACATACAAGCAGCTGTGGAAGCAGCAGTGACATCTATTAGCGACTTAAACCACAGAGTTACAAAGAACCAGTGGATTTCTTCAAAGTCTATCACACTGATGGATTCTCGCAAACTCGTCCCATCAGGTTCCGAACATGATGAAGAGCGACAACAAATCAGATCTAGGTTAAGAAAAAGTCTAAGGAACGACCGTGAGCAGTGGTGGGCAATGAAAGCAAAAGAGATGGAAAAGGCGGCGACTATAGGGAACACAAGACAGCTTTACAGACTAATAAAAGAAACTGGAATTAATAAGTCAAGTGTAAGTGAGATTATATCGGAAAAAGGCGATACTCTCATCTGCTCCCAGTCCAGACGTTTAGAACGATGGGCGGAACATTTCAGAGAACAGTTCAGCTGGCCTTCAGCTACTCTACAACTACCCTCCATTCCCAGACAAAGTGAATGGAACATTGAAGTAGGTCCCCCAACTCTTGCTGAAGTTCAAAAGGCTATAGTTAATCTGAAACGAGGAAGGGCAGCTGGTCCAGATGGACTGGCTCCAGAAGTCTTTAAGGATGGTGGTCCAATTTTAGCGACTAGGTTGACTAATATTTTAGCTAAATCTGGGAGTTAGACGTTATCCCATCTAACTGGTCACAATCACTTATCGTCCCAATATATAAGAAAGGGTCAAAATCATCCTGTGACAACCACAGAGGGATTAGTTTAACTAATATAATATCTAAAATACTAGCCTCGATAATTATCAGACGCCTAACTAAGACTCGTGAACTGCAAACACGAGAGAATCAAGCTGGCTTCAGACCTGGTCGTGGCTGCATCGACCACATATTCACCATTCGTCAGATTCTAGAACACAGGCATACTTATCGGCGTCCGACAATGGTGGTCTTTCTCGACTTAAAAGCAGCATTTGACTCGGTAGACCGCGAGATTCTGTGGCAGTGTCTGTCATTGAAAGGCGTACCTCAGAAGTACATAAACCTTGTGAAGGCTCTTTACTCGAACACTACTAGTCGAGTCAGAGCTTATGGCGAACTGTCATCTACCTTTGCAACCTCAAGTGGTGTCCGTCAAGGATGTCCACTTTCCCCATTTTTGTTTAACTTCATCATAGATCTACTGATGGAAATAACTTTCTCGTCGACTGAGTTCTCGGGTATTGATCTCCATCCAGGAGGTCCACTTATCGACTTAGAATACGCAGATGACATAGTCCTGTTTGGTGAAGACGCTGACAAAATGCAGAGTCTTTTGGTAGCACTGAGCAACAATGCCAGGATGTTTGGAATGCGCTTCTCTCCCTCTAAATGCAAGTTGTTGCTTCAGGACTGGTCTGCGTTAACACCTGAACTAAGGATAGGGAGTGAAGTAGTCGAACGCGTTGACAACTTCACTTATCTTGGAAGTCTGATCAGCCCTAATGGGTTGGTATCGGACGAAATCTCAGCACGGATTCGAAAAGCTCGTTTGGCTTTTGCCAACTTACGTCACCTGTGGCGAAGGCGAGATATCCGTCTATCAATAAAAGGACGAGTATACTGCGCGGCAGTCCGTTCTGTTTTAATTTACGGCAGCGAAACATGGCCATTAAGAGTAGAAGACACTCGTAAGCTACTAGTATTTGACCACAGATGTCTTAGAAATATTGCTGGCGTCTGCTGGGATCACCGGGTAAGTAATAGTGAGGTTAGACGCAGAGTATTAGGGAATGATGGTAAATCAGTTGATGAGGTTATGAATCTTCATCGACTGAGATGGTTGGGCCACGTGTTACGTATGCCTGAACACCGATTACCACGACGTGCAATGCTATCCGGTATTGGAGATGGTTGGCAGAAAGTTAGGGGCGGCCAAACCAAAACGTGGCATCAGTGCTTGAAGTCATTAACTTGTAGTCTGAGCCATGTTGGTAGATGCAGACTACTTGGTTGGGGTCTGCGTGACTATCGTAACCAATGGTTTGAGACTCTTGGTGACATGGCTCAGAATCGACCACAATGGCGTCGGTGTATACACTCCCTGTCTTCCCTTAAACTAAGAGATTAAAATCGCTTCATATCTTTCTTTCTACGAACCAATTCTTTCTTCTTGTATTATATCTCTATATGCAATCTTTCTCTTATATATTACCACCTTTGACATAACCACTGCTATGAATCCGGTGTTCATCTTGTTGTGCTGATGCGGTATGGCAACCTGGACCGATGCACATATGTGCCTGGTCCTACGTTGTAGCTGACTGACTGACTGAATATACAAGTGGATCTGGTAAAAAAAATCCAACTAAAAATCAAAATGCTTGCCTTACACTAAATTAAAAAGGAGTAATATTTCATGTAATTACCATTTTAAAAACAAAATCCGGTCCATAGTGGATTAGGATATTTCCTACTGATTCTTACAAGACTACATAAAGACTTATTTAGAAATAAGTTCAAATGTATCCAATCAAATAAGACTATCGTAAATCAGTAAAACCTTAAGATGGAAAAACATGGTTCAATATGTAGTTTGAAAATATTTGATTCTAATATCTTTTATTGGAGATATAACAATGTGGAATGAACTTACATTCTCATCATGACAGCTAGGAGGTACTTCACTTGGGAATGTAGAATCCCTGATATTGTTCCGAAATAGCTATGAAAACAAACAAGAAAACTCATTACAAGCAATAATTAGGAGTTAAATTATCAATTTCTCAAGTATTAGAACAATTGTGAATAGCTATTTTACTTGAACTAAGTAGCAGAATAACAGCAAGAGAAATTTAGTCATATATAACGTCAAGTTATGAATGGAAAAAAGAGTGCATAGTCACTTGATACACACATTAAACAAAATTTAGACTAATAAACGAGAAACGCAATCATGGTGCTTCGTTTGATTCAAACTAAGAAGGGGTCTTACATCACACGCAAAGTGTGTAACTCATAGACAGTTACAAAAAGCCTAAATGGTTGTAGAGCTACTTCATATACTCATCACCCATAATTAATAAATACTTTACAGGGTTTACAAAGTCTTAAAAAAAGCTGTGGAGACTTACCGGTTGTGAAGAAACGCTAGAATGTGAATCTAACCAGCGTCGAGTTTCTAACACTAAAACATAGTACAGTAGCATTGTAATAGGTGGAGCCAGACAATCTACAACACGAAAACTACTTGGAAATATAATTTCACCAGGTTTTTTACATGAGGTGTGCATAATATAGTACAAACCAAGCAGCCTACAATGAAAAAGACAAAACTATACATTAAGTGAGTGATTTTTTTAAATGTTGACACCACTTAAGAACTAATACTCAGAAAACATGTAGTAACGTACACAAATTACAGTTAAGCTCAAATACTGAACTTTTCTCTGGTTTTAAGAGCCATGGAATAATTACAAACTATATGAACCGGTTTATGATCACCGAACTAGCCATTATTACTACGTTCGCCCATTTCCTTTCCCTTCTGTTGACTATTTCTTCTTGTTCTGATGAGAAATGTAAAACAAATAAAAAGTTGTGCCGATCCCCACTTTGCATGTCTTTTTTTGTTATTTAGGTTGCTTCCTAACTGAACTGTTTACCAATTATTATAATTATGAATTATTATTTCACTCATATACACTTTCTTTTCACTGTTCTTTTTATTATACACACCTTACATTCTCTATCCCTTCACAACCTCATTATTGTGTAGGGCATATGTGTTTGGTGCCCCCTTGTACCAATTGTGTCCAAATAAATATATAGTGCTACAAACAATTGATGGTTGAGAGATTTTAACTACTTAAACCAACTAAAAATCGAAAACGAATGGATAAACACAAATTACTAGCTTGGAGTGATAAAAAAAGACCCAAACGCATGCAAAACGTTAGCTAGGAATTACGGATAGGATATACGAAGACAACTTTAGGGTACAATTAAATCCATAACCGATACGTTTTGCTACTTATCTAGTTTCATTTTAGAAGTCTAGTACTCCACATACATCACTCAGTCAAACCTTATTGTTCATAGTAAGATACCTGTTGTTATCTTGAGTAATTTTACTTTTCGACTGTTCACATGGGAACGTATTTCATACCACCGACACAATACTACTTAAAATGAACTTTGAAGTGCAACGATCCAACATAATCTCTTAAAAAACCATACAGTATTCAAACCCTGATAATGATCACATTTCAAAATTAGCAATATAAGCGATGTTTTATAAAGTCCAGCTAGTGAATCTTCTAACTAAAAACAAGAGTACTTCATACCGATTTGCAGTCACACATTGTTTTATCCCCAAATGTGAACTCTCTCACTCCATCCCAGAAATCCATGTCACTTACAAATCTACTTCTAGTTCAATTTATGATCTGTTCAAACTGTCTTTAATCGCTAAATGTTTGCCTTACGAAAGAAATCACCTACACTGATATCTGATCGAACCACTCAGTGTTATCTAAGTTTGTTTTATTCAACAATCACACACTGACGTAGGCTGGAAAATAAGCAGATCTGGTCATAACTCTAACAAACCTTGCAAACGATGTATCCTACACTCATTATCTGGGACTAATGATGGTTGGTTAATCATGATCTCACGGATAAAGCCCTAAGGGTTATAAAACCTTATGATGTAGGGTTTTACTAAGCAAGACTCAAAAAAGAAGTTAGTAAGGATTTTGTGATTTTTCTACGTGGGCAGAAAAATGTAAACGAAATGGATGAAACCTTCTGGTCACATTTTTAACTGAAGTTACCATTCCACCAAGATTCAGAGATTTCCTCACAAATATTTGATCTGTCATGTGTTAGTGTTGAAAATAATACTTCATTTGGTATTCGATTTGATCATTCATTCATTCACTCAATCGAACAGCTAATTAAGCACCAATTTCTTCATGCAAAGAATGATTTACTACAATGAGTGGGAGTCAGTCAAAAGAGTTTAAATAAATGAGGAATCACATATTTATACTACAATAACAGTAATGATAATTATTTAAACTTGATAAATCTAAAACAATTATTACTCGATTTATGTAGCTAACTAGTCAATATAAAACAGATTGCTAAACGTAGATAAGTCTTACGTGACGTGTGCAATTTTATGTAGGAGGAAATTAGTTTATATCTTACCGTGCTAAGAAACTTCCATCCTTGCAGAATGCTTGGAAGAAAGGAAACTGATATAGGTAGTATAAACAAACATGCAATCCGCTGTACACCAAAAGGAAAATCCGTAAAGAAGCAAATGGTGTTGAGCTGATTCTATTTCTACAAGCCCAATATGTACATGTAGCGAGGAATGATAAAAGATAAACGCAAGATGGCAACGAAGGTGAGGTTATTCCAGCAAAACACACAAGTAGTACGGTTATTAGCATACGTAACGAATCCATAGCCCAAGCACGCCACAATCTTTTTTGGTTTTCATTCCAAAACCTGGTAAAATTAAAGTGAGTTCGGTCGAGCTGTTTGTCTTTCGTAGCACTAAACGTTTTGATGTGTAATATATTGTGGTGAGTAAATTTAACTTACGAAGGCTTAAAGTTATGTTCCGATTCGTCACTATTATGAGAAACAATGCTGTTTTCAGCGGCCGACAAAGCATTGGTTGACGACAAAAGTGCCGAAGGAACTCGGCGTCTTCTACTGAAATAGACCAACGAAGCAACTGCAACTGACAATATGAAGATATCTGGTAGCACAAGTCGCATTGCACGGTAGGGTAGCATCCCCTCGAGCCTTTGGACACCAATCTGAGCAGCAATTGATGCATCTTCACCTATATGAATGACTTTGAAAGTATAATTAAATAACTTACATGTTCGAAGTGCATTTTCATACGGTGGAGCAACAGTCAGAACTATGTGCAGCGTTGGGTGAGACAAAGTGAAAATACAACTTAGCGTTATGAGTAAGATAAGATAAACCTGGACTTTAGCTACAAAAATATGACAACTACTTCAAATTTACTTGTGGATCTGGGACACTTGGGACGAGCGAGCAACGGGCAAGCCAGCAGAAATAATAAATAAATGAAAGAAAACCCATTGTACCGCACCACGGTAACTATGAACAATACGAAGGGGATAACGAAGCGCAGAAAAATCAAATCAATAATTCCAGGAATCATTACATAGACACTGTGTAGCCATATTCTGGTCAAATGAAAAATCGTACCCCATTAAACTCAGCAACTATCTTAAAATTAGTACACAAATTGACAGCAGTCTTTAGAAAAGTCTGGATCCTAGATGAGTAGTGAGCACTGGTGTAACATGAGAACAAGTCTGTATATCACCAGACGCTGATCAGCTACAATGGTTATCTACAGATAGGTGGATTTAGTTGCAAGGCCATGCACTCGTAGCGGTGACTGAGCACTTGAAGGTCAAAGGGTTGCAAAATGATTGGTCTATCGACCTCTCAAACGAACACATTCATACAAAAGCGGCAAACCCAGAAAAAATTATATTCAATGTAGCCAGAGCTGTTCTCTACGCGCTATTTAAAAATGACAGTGTGTATTTTACCTTGCTGGGCTAATTTTATTGAACATTCGAACTTTTTGTATTTGTCTGTACCTTTAGGCCTAACAAGGTTTATGGTCGTTAGTTCATTTGAACTTTGAGTATTTTTTATGTCTAGTTTCTTTGGAAAACATATGGTTGATGACTGGATGGTGCAAAAAAATCGATTGACAAAGTTAAGGCTGTTGATACCCTGTGGAAAGTGGCATTCAATGCAATGAGTGGAAAAGATGGTACCACGAAGTTTGTACGGATCTTCGCTTTAAGCATGACATTCAGTTGACAAAACAGCCGCTGAACCAGATAGTGCCTTACGATATCTCACTTTGCTAAAGGTCTATAGGCTAGATAACCAAATGTACTTGAAATTGAATCAAACCAGGCTGTAGAAAGTAGTATCTAGATCTCCATATAAAAGGGACTTAGTACTACAGAATGAACATAAACTGAATGGGTCAAGAGTTTTTGTCCGTAAATCCTCACAGACCGTATAAAAAGACGAGAAACTGAAAGAATTAAATTTAAGGTTAGATACTCTTGCAAAAGACCTTAAAACTGCAAATCTTCAGGTGGTGAGACTTTGAAAAAGAATGGTGCCGGAGCCACTGTTTGCAACACGAAGCCATTTAAACGGGCACCGGATCTGCTAAGCAAATGCAAGTGATGCGAGCCGGATTTACAGACAGACTGTACCAATCCGGATGCAGTCTCAGTCACGGAAACTTTGTTGATTCAGTCCACAGACAGTGCAGAAGTTTATTCTAAAACTTGTACATTAGTAAGAGCCGATGGAATCCAGAAGCGTTAAGGAGGAGGAGCTATATTTATTGGAAATACTATCCCACTTACCGCTACCGATAACACACCCTATGAAAGTGGGATATGTGAACTAGTTAGTTGCCGCTTGAAATCCAAAGCACAAGAGCTGCTGATTGGTTTGGTCTACTACAGTACAAATTATGGGAGTGAAAGATATTTTAATAGACAACCTAAACACTTTGGTATCATGTGGTCGATGTCTAGTCTTAAGAGGTTATAATTCACCTACGGTGAACTGGAAAAATCTGGGGACTGAATTATCAGAAATTTTTTGAACAGAAACTAGATGATATAATTATCATGTGTGAAACAACTCCGAATCAACCTAACTAAATCTCATATTGACCCATTATGAGGATGAGTTCACAGTCCTCCATTATATTGTACCCCTAAGTAAAATTGGACGTGCGGTTCTAGCCTTCGATTTCTATATACTAGTCAATGACGAAGATGTGTCAGCCAAAGCCAGACCAAACGTCTATGAAGCAAATGTACAGGCTATTTTACATTCAGCACTCTCAGTAGATATTGTGGTGCGTGCTACTTATATTGATATAAGTAGTATATTATGCGATTCAGGAGTGTAATGTCTGGCAGCAGAAGATGAGGGAAAATTAAGAAAGCAAGAGCGGGACTAGAATGCAATTTGTATGAAAAAGTAAGAACAATGAAGTCTGAGACATTTTGAGACAACTGGTGGACATTTTGCAAATTACCGATTTAATATGTAGTTCTCAGATTTTATTGAGATGCTCTGTAATTTTGTGTCAAATACATTCGTTTGTCCCCACTCGTGTTCTGTTCACTACAATATGACATCAGAATAAGAATTCCTATAAAAACGGTTTGGGATATATCCAGAAAGTTGTACATAAAAGTCGCTGGGTCCAACACCATTTGGACTACACTGAAAATTTAGAAACTTTCCGTCATGATTCAGCAGGGAAGTCTGCAGTCTCCTCCGCAGGGGAAAAGTAACATGGGAGATATTTAGGTTACTGGGTAGTGTTGAGACGAAATCCCAGTACGAATAGCCTGAAATATTTGTGTCCCGACCCTCCACAATTCTAAAACATTGACCTTTACATAACTCGATGTCTTTGGTGTGCTTTATGAGCTTAATATAGTAAAATCCATGGGATCCGATTAAATGCATCCTAGTTTACTAAGGGAAGTAGGAAATTATGTCGCAGGCCTTTTAAATAAGTGTTTTAATCTGTCTGCAGCCCGAGATCGATTTCCAAAAGTCTGTGAATATACTACATTAAGTTCTGTCTTTAAAACAGGCACTATACATAAACCTGAGAACCATCACCTGTAAAGCTGATTTGGTATAATTTTTAAATTTTCAAAAGAGATTTTTCAGCTGTTCAAGTACCTCGAGGTAAACTGTATTCTTCTTGAAAGATAGTACGGCCTTAGAACGGGTTATTCATGTTTCACAAACCTATTAGTAACCCATGAAAGTTAGTGCGGTCTCAAAGACCGAAAGTTACGTATAGACTTGGCCCACATTGTCTTCAATAAAGCTTTTGACAAAGTGATATTGGTATTGGTGGTGATTTACTATTATGGATACAATTTGGGAGTCAACAAAGAATACGGGTGGACTGAAATTTGTCTAGCTGGGAAGCTGTGCCTAGTGGAGTGCTCCAAAGCACAATTTGCGGGACAGTGTTGTCCCACCTATATCTAAATGACGTTTCTCCTCTCTTATCGTCATCGGTCTTGTTATACGCTAATTCGGAAAGTGACACTACGCGTTCGCTTAGAGGACTTATTCTGAAAATTAATCCGAAAAGTCACTTTGAGAGATGTTCTCATGAACTTATTAGCTACATCTAGGATGGGTGTTTACGGCGCATCAGCGATAGCTCGCCTATGATCAGATCAATTGGCCTAATTTTTATCACCACCATTGTAAATAGTGACGGGATACAAAACAGGCCGGAGCTGCTCCCAAAGTTGATGAAATGTATTCTCATTTTTTTTTAATTTTATAAGGGTTCGTTATTTTGACGACTAAATAAGTCCCTAGGGCGCTTTTCGAGCGATTGAGAAAATATGCGAAGATTCTTGAACTCAACTGGAAACCGATAGTATTGGTTATCATATAGGACAGCTTATTCCAAAATTCTCACAATACGCCAGGTAATGCAGCCCCAAAATCACTTGAGACATGCTTCATATTTGTTGCGTGCTCGTGATTAGTGTGCTGCCAGATTCACTTAAAATATTTGCTTTGGTAATAAGGGGTTGTAGTAGTCATTCCCTCTCAAATATCTATTGTTTTAGTAGATCATTTAATGATATAGATGACGCGTCACAGTAGTTGGTCCCTAAAGTTGATTTCTTGGGAATAAACAACTTGTGTGCACGAGGGTTCTGTTCATCCCTGACTATTAATTTGCAAAATGCTATTTGACGTAAGCTTTTTTGACCTAGTTTTGGAAAAAAATCATTAGAAATATTTTCAATCCCGTACATAGGAATTGATCCAGTGGATTGCACTTATGATCATTCGAGAGGCTTTTAACATTTTGGTGATAAAACCCCCTTTTAACTTTTTATACAGCATTTGTTCGTCCTATACTCTAGTACTGAACAAAGGCAGCTAGCTCCTGTCTAAAAAGAGACAGTGAGTTGTTAGGAAAGATTCAAAGAACTGCAATTAAGCTGATTCTCGGAATAGCCAAGCTCCTGTAAGATGCTCGACTACCTAAACTAAACCTGTTTCCGTGATAAATTAGCATCTGATATGCCCTCATTAACCTTGTCTTCCAAAACAGAAAATTCGCGAGGACACTCCAAAAATGTTTAAAAGCTCCAGACATCACCATGTTACAAAACACTGAAAAGCAAGTGATTATCCTCCAAGGTTTAATGCGATATTTAATATACTTTTTATGACAATTTCCTAGTTCGAATAGTTCGGGTAGCTGTTGACAAAAAAGCGAAAGCCTTTGATTTTCTAACTTTCGTGTCTAGTAACAATGATTAACTGATGAAACTAAACACTCAGAAACATGAGTAGTATTATTTAGCCATTCGGCAAAATAAATTGGGAAAGAAACTGTTTACATAAGAATGAAAATAAAATGACTCAGTCATAATTTATAATGCACTAGCAATAAACTGTTTGCCGATGTTTGATCACCTACATTTGGCCGCTTACAGCTTTGTTGGAGGCTTCATCCAGAGGAGTGTCCATTGTAATCCCTCTAGACGTATTCGCAAGAAGTTCTTTTAACTTTTGTGCTTTGTATAATATATTGTAGCGGTAAATAAATCCCCAAAATAAATAGCACTGTAAGTTTTCGACATTGGATGCTGACCATATGTTTTAGTGGACTCATCTAGCTGAAGGCGCTCGGTCAGGCATCCGCACCAGATCACGTGTAGTAACGCCGTGCTCAACATCAACCACAATCGCTAGCCAGATTAGATCAGAGAATCCCGGTATATTGGTCATCGCCAAATATACTCTTCCGATCTCCTCGACTCTGTCTTTTGATTTCTCTTGGTGGGAACGAAACATATTAGAAGGTGTTACTGGTAGAAGCGTTGTCAAACACTGAATACCTGTGACATCATCATTGGTGAGACCGTCGTGATCTGGTACACCTTATTGCAACTGTGAGTCTGTTCCTTTTTGGGATTTTTATATATCATTGCCTTATTTTTTATTTTTTTTAAACATTGTGATTTTTTTTCGTGTTTTTCTTGGATATATATATATATTTTCCCCTCGTTCATTATCGTACTTCATATTTCATCATGACTG